ATTATCGAACAGGACACCTGCTACGAACGCGATCCGTTTGAAAGTTTAGGCATCAGTTTCAGAAATCTCAAAGAAATGGGTTTTGCCTAAAGGCGTTGCGTTTTTATTAATAGAAGGCAAGTCTCCGTATGCGACTCATTCGGTCCCAACACAACAATGAGATACGGAGATTTTGCCTTATATTTTAAGGAAAGTCAAGAGGTAGATTGACTGAACACCACAGCCCAGATAATGGATGGAAGACCTTTTAACCCTTGACAGGGAATCAATTGGTGTGTCGCATATAGATGCAAATCTCAATCACCGGATATTTTTTTATTTGACATTACACGATGGTTTGTGATACAATTAAAAGGAAATTATTCTGTTAACGGGGCGTGGCGCAGCCCGGAAGCGCGCTTGAATGGGGTTCAAGAGGTCGCTGGTTCGAATCCAGTCGCCCCGATCTCTGATATGTAATATCGTCTTGTAAGTGGTGTACACAAGCCGCGCGATAAATAGTAAAGAAAGGAGGGGGTTGCAGTAGTGGACAAGTCGTGTGTGAATGTTGGCATTTTAGGATGGGGTACTGTCGGCACTGGCGTTTCCAAAATCCTGACGAATCAGAATTCCCTCATTGCCAAAAATAGTGGCACGGAATTATGCCTAAAAAAAATAGTAAAGCGGACGTTACCCGCGACGCGGCAAGGCGTTGAACTTCCTGTGGACTGTCTAACAACTGACCCTGCAGAAGTTGTCGACAATCCAGATATCGATATTGTTGTTGAACTTATCGGGGGTGTCACAACAGCACACTCCCTCATTAGACGCGCTATCCAAAATGGTAAGCATGTCGTCACAGCAAACAAAGCCCTTCTTGCCGAACACGGTGGCGAACTGTTCCAACTGGCTTCAGAACACCAAGTCAGTCTCAATTTTGAAGCGAGCACGGCTGGCGGTATTCCGATCATCAAAACCCTACAAGAAAGTTTCGCGGGCAACCAGATCCACTCCCTTTACGGTATAGTGAACGGGACGTGTAACTACATTTTGACCGAAATGCACGAGCGCGCTGTAGACTTTTCAGATGTGCTCAAAGTCGCACAGGACAAGGGGTACGCCGAAGCCGACCCAACGCTTGACGTTGAAGGAATTGATGCCGCACAAAAACTCATTCTCCTGATCGCTCTCGCATACCGGAGTAGTATCTCACTGCAGCAATTCCATGTCGAAGGTATTACAAGTATCACCCAAAAAGAGATTCAATACGCTCGCGAACTCGGTTATGTCATTAAACTCCTCGCAATCGCCAAACTCACCGATGGAAATCGTGTGGAGGCGCGTGTACATCCGACACTCGTGCCAGAGCGAAGTTTGTTAGCAAACGTCGGTGGGGCATTCAACGCCGTTTGTGTTATCGGTGATGCTGTCGGTCCGACCCTTTTTTATGGACAAGGTGCTGGTGAGATGCCAACGGCGAGTGCTGTTGTCGCGGACATCATTGATGCCGCGAAATCTGTGCAACAAGGCATAAGCACCCCGATTTCACAAGCATGGCTCGCAGGGGCACAGGCGGAAGTCGGTGTGTGTCCTATTGATGATATTGAGACGCGGTATTACATCCGTTTTGTGGTTGCCGACCGACCCGGCGTTCTTGCAAAAATCGGGACTATTTTGGGGAACTGGCAGATTAGCATCGCTTCTGTCATCCAAAAGGATCCGCACGGTATGGAGACCGTGTCTCTGGTGATGTTGACGCACAAAGCGCAGGAAAAAAACATGAAAGCCGCGCTCGCACAGATTTACACGCTCGAAGATGTAAAAGACAAAGCACAACTCATTAGAATCGAAGAAGAAGTCGATTTTTAAGTTGTGTCGAGATTTAGATGTAGAGCCAGAAATGTATGCCATTCACCCTTGTGTTGACCATCATGGAAAGGTATATTTGAGGTGAAATTCAATATGAAGGAAGGCATAAGCGATACGTTAGTGTTCAGCGCGAAAGACCTGCGACACGAGGACTTCAAAGAATACGAAGCACTTGTGCCGTCCGAGCCCCTCGGTTTGACTTACGAGGAGGCAAAATTTATTGAGCCGTTGTCATGCAGAGTCGGTCTCTTTCGCCAAGGTGGCGACAGGATCTATGTGACAGCCGATGTCGATACGACTGTCTTGGTGGAGTGTCGACGCTGTACCAACCCGTTTGAGGTGGACATAACAACAACACTCGACTTGCTATTCTCTATCGGTGATGAATCGCCTGAACTCGATGAAGATGAAGACCGATACTATGACGGAGAAACTTTAGATATTTCAGAAGATGTGCGGCGGGCACTTGTTCTTGAAATACCGACATGGTCGCTGTGTTCCGAAACATGCAAAGGTTTATGTCCAGAATGCGGGACGGAACTCAACACGACAGAATGTTCCTGTGAAATAACGGATGAGACATCAGTCCCCGCCTCTAACTCTCTTGGCGAGCAGCTTGTAAGCGCGTTTTCCAAAGTCGGTTCTCTCAAAAATACTGGAAACAGTTGAAATCAGAATAAATACTTGAATTGTAAGCGTGATTTGCGAATCGCGATTTTGTAAGACAAAGGAGACAATCCATGGCGCATCCAAAACGGAGAACGTCAAAATCGAAAAAAAGAATGCGGCGGAGCCATCACGCGCTCCATAGCAAAGCCACAAGTGTCTGTTCATACTGCGGTGAGACAATTATTTCTCACCGAGTCTGTTCCGGATGTGGGCATTACAATGGACGGCCCGTATTAAAATCTGCGGATGAAGCATAGATAAAGGCTCGTTAGAAACCAACGAGCGCAGATTTTTTACATTGACCGGAAACTCTTCTTTAGAGATATTTTAATGAAGATGCGAGTTTCCGATCAAAGTTTTGGCACGTCCATTTCAACATAGGAAACCTGCAACGGTGCCTTAGAACGCCAAAAACTTTAAGAGAAATATAATGACGCAACTTCGACATGCAACCATCACAGGGACGGGGTCCTACCTCCCTGACCGGGTTGTCACCAATTTTGACATCGAGAAGATGGTCGATACAAGCGACGAATGGATTCGTCAACGGACAGGGATCTCTGAACGGCGCATCGCTGAGGACGACGTAGCAACCTCTGACCTCTGTATACATGCTGCACGATGGGCTATCAAAAACGCTCACATTGATCCGCTTGATATTGAGATGATTCTCGTCGCTACCGTTACGCCCGATAGGTTTTTTCCCTCAACGGCGTGCTATGTTCAGAAAGGCATCGGTGCAAAGAACGCCGCCGCAATGGATATATCCGCTGCGTGCGCCGGCTTCCTTTACGGACTGGATTTAGCTGATGGATTGATTAGATCTGGACGATACAACACCATTCTTGTCGTCGGTGGCGAAATCTTTAACAAGATTGTTGATTGGAACGATAGGAACACATGTGTCCTTTTTGGAGATGGCGCAGGTGCCGCTGTTGTTCAAGCTACGGATGAATCGAAAGGTATCCTCGCATCTTACATCGGGTCTGATGGAGATTACGCCGACGTCGATCTTCTCGGTATTCCCGCAGGCGGCTCCAGGATGCCGGTCACGCAAGAAGCAATCGACCAGAAGTTAGACAAAATTCAGATGAACGGACGAGAAGTCTTCAAATTGGGTGTCCGCCTTATGCCGGAAGCTGCTCAACGTGTGCTACGTCAGGCAAACGTTAGCGTTGAGGATATTGATTTGTTAATCCCGCATCAAGCGAACCTGCGCATCATTGAGGCAGTTGGCGACAGACTCGGCATGCCGCGGGAAAAGGTCTATATCAACGTTGATAAATACGGCAATACCTCCGCAGCAACGGTGATCATCGCGTTAGATGAGGCAATTCGTGAGGGCCGCGCGAAGCCAGGCGATCTGCTTTTGCTTGTGACTTTTGGCGCAGGCTTGACATGGGGAAGCACGCTCCTACGATTATAGCTATCAGCAATCAGCAGTCGGAAACCATCAGCAAAGAGGCTTTTCTAATTACCTTAATCATCAACTCGTGCCTTAACATTTATAACGGAGGCGAGTTGATGCTTAAAGTTTGCTATTTGATTTGAGAGTTTCAGAAAACCGAAAGGCCCCCGCACGACAGCCGATGGTTTCCGACAGCCACTCATCAGAAGAAAATGACACAGCTGGCATTCATTTTTCCAGGACAAGGTTCGCAACAGGTAGGCATGGGCGCAGAACTGGCACAGACTTACCCAGTCGCCGATGCTGTTTTTCAGGAGGCAGATGCTGTCCTCGGACGAAAGTTGCGGCAACTCTGTTTTGAGGGACCGGAAGCAGACTTAAAGCAGACCGAAAACACGCAACTGGCGATTTTAACCTGTAGTGTAGCAGCATTGCGAGTCCTAAAAGAATGCGGTGTCGTGCCGAGCGCGGTCGCCGGACACAGTTTGGGAGAGTATTCCGCACTCGTGGCGGCAGGGGTGATCGACTTCGCAGATGCACTGCACTTGGTACACGCACGAGCGAGTTTCATGGCGGACGCTGGGAAAATGCAACAGGGCACAATGGCGGCAATCCTCGGAATGGAAACGGCGCAGCTGCAAGAACTTTGTGACACGGCTGAAGGTGTTGTGAACATAGCCAATTACAACTGCCCCGGACAACTGGTAATCTCTGGAGAAGTCGAAGCAGTTAACCACGTCCTCGAACTTGCTAAAGCCGAAATTGGTGCGAGGCGGTGTCGCCCGTTGCCAGTCAGTGGTGCGTTTCACTCGCCACTCATGGCACCCGCACAACAGAAATTCGCATCCCCACTCGAATCGGTGGCGATGCAGCCACCGCAAGTTGATATTGCGATGAATGTAACGGGTGAGTTCGCCACGGAGGCAGATACTATCAGGCACCTCCTATTTCAACAGATAACACGACCTGTCCAATGGGAAAAAACACTGCGGACTATTGAGAAAACCGGCATCACGCATTTCGTAGAGGTCGGACCGGGCAAAGTTTTGTCCGGCTTGGTGAAGCGGACTCTGCCAGAAAGTAGTGCCCTGAACGTTGAAGATATTGAGACGCTATCTCTTGTGACAGATGCACACGGAAATGGTGAATAAAAAAATGAATGGGACAACGGGACAAGGTGCCCTTAGAGCAGATCTGCTCAACGGCAAAACCGCAATCGTTACAGGTGCGTCGCGAGGTATTGGGGCAGCGATTGCACATAGACTCTGCGAAACTGGTGCAAATGTCGTTCTTTGCTCTCGTTCTGCCGATGCAGTCGGACAGATCGCCGATACGCTGCAGGGAAAAGGCTATACCGTCCTCTCAATGGCCGCTGACATCTCCCAAAAGGCGGATGTTGAAGCTCTTATTGAAAAGACGATTTCGCATTTTTCACAAATCGATATTCTCGTGAACAATGCCGGGATTACCCGCGATATGTTGCTCATGCGCCTCAAAGATGAAGACTGGGACGCTGTATTACAGACAAATTTGACCGGCACGATGTACTGCACCCGTGCAGTCCTCCGTCCTATGATACGTCAGAAAAGTGGACGAATCATCAACATTTCATCAGTTATCGGACTCGTGGGAAACGCAGGACAAGCGAGTTATGCCGCCGCGAAAGCTGGCATTATAGGTTTGACAAAGGCTACCGCGAAAGAGGTCGGTGCCCGCGGTATCACGGTCAACGCTATCGCCCCTGGTTTTATCACGACAGATATGACCGCACAAATACCGGAACAGAGTCAGCAGCAACTGCTTGAACTGATTCCGTTACGGGCGTTTGGGCACCCAGAAGATGTGGCAGATGCCGTCTGTTTTTTGGCATCGGATGCTGCACGCTATATCACCGGCCAAATACTCCAGGTTGACGGTGGCATGGTGATGTAATTCAGAAGTTGTCAGTTAACCGTTATCGGTTAACAGTCGCAAGAGGTGTGTTGTTTAACCCAAAGCCTCTTTTAACTGACAACTGACAACTGACAACTGTAAACTCTAAAAAGGAGATCAGAGAAACGCTTATGGCAACAAACCAAGAACGCCTCATTGAAATTATCGCTAAACAACTCGGTGTTGAAGAAGATAATGTCACCGCAGATGCCTCCTTTATGGAAGACCTGGGGGCTGACTCACTTGATACCGTTGAACTGGTCATGGCACTTGAAGAGGAATTCGATATCGAAATCCCAGACAGTGATGCGGAAAAAATCCAGACTGTTCAAGATGCTCTGAGTTACCTAAACGAACACGCGTAGGTTATAAGGTATATCGTTAGAGGGTGCCTGGCGAAATGCTGTCAGCCCTCTTTAGTGCGCGCTTGGTAAAACTGCCAAGCGCGCCTGTAACTTCAATAAAAAAAGGATCGGTCTCGTGGAGCGTGTAGTTATTACAGGATCGGCGTTGTCAATGCAATTGGCAATACGAAAGAAGAATATTGGGATGCGCTTGCTGTCGGTAAAACGGAATCGGACCTTTAACCTATTTTGATGCCTCTGAGCATCGCACCCAAATCGCCGGAGAGGTTAAGAATTTCCAAGCGGAACAGTATATGGACCGCCGAGCTGCGTCCAGGCTACCGCTGTTCATTCAGTACGCGCTTGCCGCCTCAGTTATGGCGCACGAAGATTCAGGTTTGGAACTCGATAAAGTTGACGCTTACCGTGCAGGGGTCCAAATTGGTTCTGGAATCGGCGGCATCGGTGTCCTTGAAGACAATGCAAAAATCCTCGCTGAAAAGGGTGCTAACGCGTCAGCCCATTCCTTGTACCGTACATGATTATTAACATGGCGGCAGGGCAGGTCTCAATCCATTTTAAACTCAAAGGTCCTAATGCTACGTCCGTCACTGCCTGTGCGAGTGCGAACCATTCTATCGGTGATTCGTTCCGTATTATTCAACGCGGTGAGGCAGATGTGATGTTTACGGGTGGCACGGAATCGGCGATTACACCCTTAGCTTTTGCCGGGTTCTGTTCAATGCGCGCTATGTCCGCGCGAAATCATGAACCTGAACGCGCCTCGCGCCCGTTTACTAAGGACCGGGACGGCTTTGTCATGGGCGACGGAGCAGGTGTATTAATTCTCGAATCGCTATCGCATGCTAAAAAGCGCGGTGCTTATATCTATGGGGAAATAGTCGGCTACGGAATGACCTCGGATGCATACGATATGGTAAGCCCGCCCGAAAACGGTGAAGGAGCGGTGAAAGCGATGGAATTTGCACTCCGAGATGCGAAATTGCCACTGGATGCTGTTGATTATATCAACGCCCACGGTACCTCTACACCGATTGGCGATGTCGCCGAAACGAACGCCATTAAAACCCTCTTCGGTGAACGTGCGTACAAAATTCCTGTCAGCTCTACCAAATCCATGATCGGTCACCTGCTCGGTGCAGCTGGAGCCGTGGAAATCATCGCCTGCTTAGGCGGGATGGAAAAAGGCTATCTGCCACCGACTATCAACTACGATATGCCGGACGAAGCCTGCGACTTGGACTATATCCCAAACGAAAGTCGCGACGTAACAATTGAGGTCGCACTCTCCAACGCGTTCGGTTTTGGTGGACACAACACTTCAATCGCCATCCGCAAATTCTCAGGTTAGAGGAATCTCAAAGATGAGCGAAAGTGCGAAATACATCAAGATTGTCGAATGGTCGGACGAAGATGAGTGTTTTATCGGATATTGTCCTGGGATTATCGGTCCGTGTTGTCATGGCGATAACGAAGTAGAAGTTTATCGGCAGTTATGTGAGATTGTTGACGAGTTATTGGCACACGCACAGAAAAAAAATAAACCTCTCCCGCATCCAACTATCGGTAGGAAACCTTGAGGGATTTTTAGTGAGTGCCTAATCAGTTTGTGGCACTCACGAACCGCCGGGTTCAGCCATGTTGTTATCAACCCCAAATTCCATGCATTTAGCCTACATCGGCTTCGGAAGCAACATCGGCGACCGACTGGCACATATCCAGAACGCCATCTATGCTCTATCGAAAACGGAGGGAATCACCTTAAAAGAGGTTTCCTCTATTTACACAACTGATCCAGTAGGGTATGAAGCACAAGCACAGTTTCTGAACGGTGTCGCCGCTATCCAAACCTCCCTTTCCCCTCTCTCCTTGCTACATACCTTAAAAGACATTGAGACCGCTGTTGGGAGACAGCACCGTATCCGCTGGGGTCCGAGAGAGATTGACTTGGACATATTAATCTATGAGATTTGTGCCTCCAAACAGAAAAACTCGTCATTCCACACCTGGAGATGCACCTCCGCGGTTTCGTACTGGTCCCGTTAGTGGAGATCGCACCGGATCTGGTACATCCAGTCTTTCAGGAGACTATTCAAACCATACTCAACCGTCTTGAAAATAGCAAATCCGTTCTGAAAAAAGAAGATTGTGTTCTATAATACTGTAAAGGCAAAACCACCTTTTTGTTAATGAACACGACATTACTTTTGAGCATGCCGTTTTCTTAACCATCTTCGGATATCTAACTTCCCCTGAGAAAAACCCCAGATAATGGCTATGCCCACCAACACCCAAGCACCATACCACCCGACAGGATACATAATATCAAACACTGTATCTCTCAGACCGTCATAGCGACCATCCATGTAACGGTCGGAGAGGCTACCTACTGTAGTGCGACCGATAAAAGCCAATCCGGCGATCCATAAGTAAGCAGCCACGATTCCTAATACAACCCTTAGAAGAAAAATCCCGAGAAACCGAAGGTCGGTTTTGAATTTCTGCATAAACATAGTTTCCATCTCCTAAGTTGCTGATATAGAGTCACCTGAAGCTAAAAAGGATAGTGAAAATTTTTGTATGCAGTATAAACAGGTCTCGGCAGCGATGCCAACCAGCCTGAAAAACTTGCAATTTTCCCTTGATTATGGTATAATTTCTAATAGATGAGTCCGAAATGCACTGACACAATACACCAGTAATTACAAGTGCTAAAGGAGCTTTACCGCAAAACTATACAAAAAATGAACATCCACGAATATCAAGCCAGCCAAATTTTAGAATCCTATGGTGTTAATACACTACCCGGTAAGGTCGCCGAAACGCCAGAGCAAGCCGAAACGATTGCGCAAGAACTCAATTGTCCTACATACGTTATCAAGGCACAGATCCATGCGGGTGGGCGCGGGAAGGGTGGCGGGGTCAAACTTGCAAATACACCCGCCGAAGTTAAACAACATGCCGATGCTATCCTCGGAATGCAACTGGTGACACCCCAGACCGGTCCTGAAGGCAAACGTGTCCGTAAAGTGCTTATCGCTGAAGCCGCGGAAATAGAGAAAGAATTCTACCTCGCCATATTGCTCGATCGGGAAACGTCACGACTCACCTTAATCGGAAGCGAAGAGGGGGGTGTCAACATCGAAGAGATTGCAGCACAAACCCCAGAAAAAATTATTACAACACAGATCCATCCAGCCTTCGGATTAACCGAGTTCCAAGCGCGGGAGTTCGCATACAAACTCATCACCGATACAAACTACCGTTCTGTTATCCCGAACGCCACCAAATTGATTCTGTCACTTTACAATGCGTTTACTGAATGCGACTGTTCACTCGTGGAGATTAATCCACTGGCAATTGTAAAATCGGATGACGAATTAGATATTGTCGCGCTCGATTCCAAGGTAAACCTCGATGATAACTCACTCTGGCGACACCCTGATATAACTGAGATGCGCGATCCACACGAAGAGGATCCGAGTGAATTAGAAGCAAGCGAATCGGGTTTGAGTTACATCCGCCTTGATGGCGACATCGGTTGCATGGTGAACGGCGCAGGACTCGCTATGGCAACGATGGACATCATCAAACAGAACGGTGGCGAACCGGCGAACTTTCTTGACGTCGGAGGGGGTGCATCTGTAGAGGCAGTTGCACACGCTTTCCGTCTCATCCTCGCAGACGAAAACGTGAAGGCTGTTCTCGTTAACATCTTCGGTGGTATCATGAAATGCGACACAATCGCAAACGGTATCGTCGAAGCAGCAAAACAGGTCGAACTCAATGTCCCGCTTGTGGTTCGGTTAGAAGGGACAAACGTGGAACTTGGAAAACAGATCATTGCCGAGTCGGATTTGAACGTTCAACAAGCAGAGGGGCTCTCTGAAGCGGCACAACTCGCGGTAGCCGCAGCGAATCCTGCATAAAAAATTACGCAATTGGTGACATAAACGTCCGATATTGATAGGAGACCGGTTTTGGACAGGGGTCCCCACCCGCGTACGGGCGAGATAACCTCGCTCCTACAGGAAGGGGCGGACAAAACCGATCAGAAATCCAATCCTTAAAAATATGGAAAAACTCGAATTAAAGGACATAGACGTTAGTGGGAAACGCGTTCTCGTACGGGTAGACTTCAATGTCCCAATGAAAGACGGGAAGATTACAGATGAAACCCGTATCACCGCCGCTTTGCCGACACTCTTCGCACTCATCAACGCCGATGCCAAAATTATCCTTGTAACACATTTAGGTAGGCCCGAGGTAGGTTCGGCGGCTGACCGGAAAACGCTTTCGACTGAACCAATCGCTATAGCTCTCAGCCGCAAACTCGGCACACGTGTCGCACATGTCAATGATTGCATCGGTGAGTCGGTGCAAAGTGCGGTTGCGTCAATGCGTAACGGAGAAGTTCTGCTCCTTGAGAATGTCCGATTCTACGCCGAGGAAACTGCGAACGACACGGCATTCGCTGCGCAACTTGCCTCACTCGCAGATGTCTATGTGAATGATGCCTTCGGTACAGCACATCGTGCCCATGCATCAACGGAGGGAGTAACCCACTATCTTAGTCCGTGTGCCGTTGGACTCTTGATGGCACGCGAAATTTATTATCTCAGCACTACGCTTGAAAATCCTGCACGTCCCTATGTCGCTATTCTCGGTGGCGCGAAAATATCCGACAAAATCACGCTGATCGAAAACCTCCTTGGAAAGGTTGATAAACTTCTCATCGGTGGAGGCATGGCATACACATTTTTGTCGGTGATGGGATTCAGTATCGGCGACTCAATTGTCGAAACTGAGAAACTTGACGTTGCAAAATCATTAGTCGAAAGGGAAGGTTTCTCGGATTCCGTCATACTACCGCTGGACCACGTTGTGGGAAAAGCCTTTGACCCTGAAACCGAATCGCAGATTGTGGACAAAGGGAATATCTCGGATGGATGGCAAGGGTTGGATATCGGTCCCGAAACCGTATCGGTTTTTGGTAAACAGCTTGAAACAGCAAAAACTGTGGTGTGGAACGGTCCTTTAGGGGTCTATGAATTTGAAAAGTTTGCCCAAGGCACGATTTCGGTCGCAAAGCAGATTGCAGATTCGGAGTCGGTGAGCATCATCGGCGGTGGCGATTGTGTCGCGGCGATACAACAAGCAGGGGTCGCGGATCGAATGACGCATATCTCAACGGGAGGCGGTGCCTCCTTGGAGTTTTTAGAAGGAAAATCTCTACCGGGTATCATTGCTTTAACGGACAACTAATCGAGATCCACAAGGAAAAAGATGTTTGATAAAATAATTCCCCGTAGTGAAGACTACGCAAAATGGTATACTCAGGTCATCCGTCAAGCGGAGATGGCTGACTACGCCCCCGTGCGCGGATGTATGGTAATACGTCCTTACGGCTACGCACTCTGGGAAAACGTCAAAGAACAATTGGATACCCGGTTCAAAGAAACGGGACACCAAAACGCCGCCTTCCCGCTCTTCATTCCGATGAGTTTCATTGAAAAAGAGGCGGAACACGTCGAGGGCTTTAAACCAGAACTCGCTGTCGTCACTCACGGCGGCGGGAAAAAACTGGAAGAACCGCTTGTCGTGCGACCAACATCTGAAACCATCATCGGCTACATGTATAGCCAGTGGATCCAGTCTTACCGAGATCTACCAGTCCTTATCAATCAATGGGCGAACGTAGTCCGCTGGGAATTGCGTCCTCGTCTTTTTCTAAGGACGATGGAATTTTTCTGGCAAGAAGGGCATACCGCTCACGCAACGCACGAGGAGGCTGAAGAAGAGACTCTTAGTATCCTGGACCTCTACGCCGATTTTGCGATCAATGAAGCCGCAATACCCGTCATCCGTGGACGTAAGAGTGAAAGTGAAAAGTTCCCTGGCGCACTAACCTCCTATACCATTGAAGCAATGATGGGTGATAAACGCGCACTCCAATCTGGCACCTCACACGACTTAGGGCAGAACTTCGCCAAAGCCTTCGATATTCAATATCTCGATGCAAACCAGAAACAGCAGCACTGCTGGACAACCAGCTGGGGGGTGAGCACCCGAATGATCGGTGCAATTATCATGACACACGGAGACGACCAAGGGTTAGTTCTACCACCAAGACTCGCACCCACTCAACTCGTCATCGTGCCAATCGTCCCTAAAAACAACGACAGCGATAAGCAAGCAGTCATGCAAGCCGTTGACGGCATCTGTGAAACCTTGGGCAGTGTTCGCTACCACGTTGACGATAGACACGATCACTCACCGGGTTGGCGATTCAACGAATGGGAACTCAAAGGCGTGCCGTTACGTATAGAGATTGGTCCCCGTGATTTGAGCAAACAGCAGATTGTTCTCGCACGACGCGATATACCCGGCAAGGAAGGCAAAACGTTTGTGCCGATTGACAACGCTGCCGAGACGGTGAAGCAGATGCTTGACACTATTCAAGCAGATATGCTCAAACGGGCAATAGACTTCCGCGATACGAATACCTTTAAACCTACTACCTACGACGCGTTTAAAGAGGTTATCGAAAATGGATTCGCACACGCACGCTGGTGCGGCGATGCAGCCTGTGAAGAGCAAGTAAGAGAAGAAACACAGGCGACTATCCGATGCCTCCCGATGGATCAACCCGGTGGAGATGGTGAGTGTATTGTCTGTGGTAAATCTGCAGAAGAAGTCGCGATCTTTGCTCACGCTTATTAAACCAATTTTTTAATTATGGGGCCTTCGCGCATCGTTCCAAATGTAAAGCAAAGACAAATTATGCCATTTAAGGCATAATTTCATTTCACGATGGTTTCTGGTGCGTTTCAACGGTACTCCTTCCGCGGGGCTGGGGTGGAAAGATGCCCAGGGGTCCATAGATTAAAAATCTGAAAACTCTGCTTCAGACGATGGACCATGGAAAGTATCCCGTTGAAGTACAGCAAAAATCACCCTGAAACGAAGTGGAAGGGTGCCTAGGGTCCATAGGTTAAAAAATAAAAAAATATGAGTATACTTGTTAATAAAAATACAAAAGTCCTCGTTCAAGGCATCACGGGTCGTTCTGGACGTTTTCACACGGAGCAGTGTGCGGCTTACGGCACCCAGATCGTTGCGGGTGCTGTCCCCGGCAGAGGTGGGTCCGATGTAAATGGCATCCCTGTGTATGACACTGTGGCAGAGGGGATTGCAGCAACAGGAGCGGATACCTCGTTGATTTTCGTCCCCGCACGTTTCAATGCGGCAGACTCTGTTATGGAAGCGGCAGAAGCAGGAGTCGAACTGATTGTCTGCATCTCTGAACATATTCCTGTTCTCGACATGGTCAAAGCGAAGGCGTTCCTTCAAGGAAAATCGACCCGATTAATCGGACCGAACTGTCCTGGTGTCATCACACCCGGTGAATGCAAAATCGGCGTTATGCCCGAGTTTGCCTATACACCCGGTAACGTCGGTATCGTCTCCCGAAGTGGAACCTTAACCTACGAAGCTGCATATCAACTGAAGCGACTCGGTATTGGGCAGTCCACCTGTGTCGGCATCGGTGGCGACCCGGTGATTGGGGACAAACTTTGTTGATGTCCTCAAACTTTTTGAGGCAGACAACGACACACATGCCGTTGTCTTAATAGGTGAAATCGGTGGAACAGCTGAGGAAAAAGCAGCGCAGTTTGTGAAGAACGAAATGACGAAGCCTGTTGTCGGTTTTATTGCTGGGCAGACCGCGCCAGCCGGAAAGCGGATGGGACACGCGGGTGCAATTATCTCCGGTGGACAAGGCACAGCCGCTGATAAAATTCGAGCACTCAAAGATGCCGGGATCGCTGTTGCCGATAGCCTCGCCACTATTGGAGAAACCGTTTCGGAGGCGTTGGATTAATTTATACTGGGTTTGGGGATTTTGAGGTTTCTGTTATCTTGGAAACGTTAAACCCAAATTGTAGCCTGCAACAACGGCGCAGGCGGATATACGGAAATGAAAGTTATTATCCAACCCACCTGACCGAACCGCAAGGTAAAATTAAAAAGTGAAGAAAGACCTCGCTTATCTGCACACCAAAAAACAGGAACGGCAACCGATTACTGTGCTGACCTGTTACGATTACCCTACCGCTTGTATGCAAGACGAAGCAGGTATCGACATCGTTTTTGTCGGCGATAGCGTTGGACCAATGTTCTCGGCTATAAAAACGAGACGGAGTGACGATGGCAGATATGTGCATCACCTCAAAGCAGTACGCCGTGGTGTGACAGACGCCTACCTCCTCGTTGATATGCCCTACGCCGCAGATCGCGATGTGACGCAAGCCATCACCAATGCGAAACTCTTTGTATCCGATGGAGCAGACGGTGTTATAATTGGAAGGTGGTGTAGAAAAGTGCTGAGTCCTCACTTTGTCTCTGCACTCACCGAACACGGTATAGACACTTGCGCGCACATCGGTCACAATCCACAAATCCACGGGACCAAGGCATCAACCCACGGAAGAACCTTTGCCAAAGCGAAACAACTCATTGAAGCGGCAGAGGCACTCTCGCAGACGCTGGCGCGAAACTCATCGTCCTCGAGAAAATCACTGAAGAGGTAAGCCAAATCATAACGGATAACCTCGATATTCCGACCATCGGTATCGGGGCAGGACGATTCTGTGACGGGCAAGTACTCGTTATTAACGATATATTAGGCATAGGTCCCCCACTCAAACACGCCAAACGCTATCAAGATTATAGCCAGTTGACTTTTGAGGCAATCTGCCGATACAAGGAAGAGGTAGCGGACGGCACGTTCCCCACAGACGCGAACACCTCACACATCCCACCCGATAAACTTGCGCGAGTGCAGAAGTGGCTAAAATCAACGCACTAAATCGCTTTTTCATATGAAACCTTTCTGTTTTTTAAAACCACTCTATAACGCCAAAAAGTTGCCGAGTAGACTCTTTCCAGCAGTCGTTAAAATCGATTCTGGGTGGAACTGCACACCCCAAATAGGCAAGGTTCTATGCCGAAGCCCCATGATTTCATCCTGATCCGTCCAGGCAGTGATCTCAAGGCAATCCGGCAGCGTCTCTCTTTTTACGATAAGCGAATGGTAGCGCGTGGCTTCGAATGGGTTATCCAATCCCTCGAAAAGCTCAACCTCATTATGTACGATCATTGAGGTTTTACCGTGCATCAACCGCTCTGCTCTAACGACTTCACCACCGAACGCGTCCCCGATGCACTGATGACCAAGGCAGACGCCTAAAATCGGAACTTTGCCAGCGAAGTGCTTTATGACATCGTTGGATATACCTGCGTCTTTCGGCGTGCAAGGACCGGGTGAAATGACGATCCGTTCAGGCTTCAGCGTGTCTAATGCGTCTAATCCTATTTTTCGACTCCGATGAATCTCCAATTCAGCACCGAGTTCACCCAAATACTGCACTAAATTGTAGGTAAAGGAGTCGTAGTTATCAATCATTAAAACCATCTTTTCCTCCTTAAAGGAATGGAAGATTGGAAGAATGGATACCCGCTTTTCCAATCTTGCAACTTTCCACCCAAGTCCTTTACAACAAGAACCCTTGTTCTGCCAAAGCAATAGCACTGAGCATTGCTCGCGCTTTACTCACGGTTTCGTAAATACTCAGTTTCTGGCACTGAATCCGCAACGACACCACCACCTGCTTGCACATAAGCGGTGCTATCTTTGATAACCGCCGTTCGGATAGTAATCGCTGTGTCTGCACTGCCGGAAAAGCTGAAATAACCCACTGTTCCGCCGTACGTACTCCGACGCGTCGGCTCAAGTTCATCAATGATTTCCATTGCGCGTATCTTCGGGGCACCAGAGAGTGTTCCAGCGGGAAGGCACGCGCGCAGGACATCAAAAGCCGTAAGATCTTCGCGTAATCGTCCAATGACGTGTGAAACGATGTGCATCACGTGTGAGAAGCGTTCGACTATCATAAAGTCGGTCACCTCAACGGTGTTATATTCACAGACCCGACCAAGGTCGTTCCGTCCTAAATCAACGAGCATGACGTGTTCTGCCCGTTCCTTCGGATCGGAGAGAAGTTTCTGCTCCAACTCCCGGTCCTCCTCAGCAGTTGTGCCGCGCGGGAGTGTTCCAGCAATTGGGCGGGTTTGGACGATTCCGTCCTCTACCCTAACCATCATTTCTGGTGATGCCCCTACAATGTCAAAACCATCAAACTTCAGGTAATACATATACGGTGATGGATTGACCATTCGCAATGCCCGATATATCTCGAACGAGTCTACGGACACCGGACAACTGAACCGCTGCGAAGGCACAACCTGGATGATGTCGCCTGCAGCTATGTATTCCTTAGCGTGCCTGACCGCAGCTTCGTAATCGGGTTTCGTGAAATTCGATTGCGGGGCGGATATGATTTTATCATACTGCTCCTGATGTTCACCACTATTCCTGCGTAAATGCGCTTCGGAAGGAGCTGTAAGTTTCTCGACCAATGCCTCAATTTTCGCAAGAGCATCCGCATAAGCCGTATCCACATCTCCATCAATATGCGCGTTCGCCACAACCTTGATCTGGTGGTTCACGTGATCAAATATCAAAATCGTCTCAGCAATCATGAAAAAGCAATCCGGAATCTGCAGTTCATCTTCGGTATTATCTGGCAACTCCTCAACGAAGCGCACCATGTCATAACTCATATAACCAACTGCACCACCGTGGAATTTTGGTAACGCTTCAGTGTCAACAGGTCGATAATTCTGCATCAATTCCTCAAGAGCATTCAACGGATCTTCATACTCCTGAACTACGGTTTCGCCTTTTTCCAAATACTCAATGGTAACCTGATGTCCTCTACTATGGAAAAGCACCGAGGGTTGACTCCCCAAAAAAGAGTAACGCGCAAGGGTTTCACCACCTTCAACGCTTTCGAGCAAGAACGCATAATTATCTGGCATCAACTTGTAAAAAGCAGACACCGGCGTCTCCATATCCGCCATAATCGATCGGTATACCGGTATTGTGTTTCCTGATTTCGCTGCCTCGCGAAAATCTTCCAACGTGGGATAATACATTTTTCAATTATTCCTTGCGGTTCGGTCAGGTGCGTCTGGAGTTCAGGTTCTTATCCGTATATCCGCCTGCGCCGTTGTTGCAGGCTATTGTTTTGTTTAATTTTTTAAACGGACATACTCTTGTCTGAATCCGAAGCTTTATAATTTTAGCCCGTTACAAACGCCCGACCATCGCTTAATAGGTAATTAGGGGCTTTCCTATAAAATCGAGACTATAGATGAATTTAATCAAGCAATTCTCGAACGGATGCAAGGATACAAGAACGGACGAAATATCGGCGTCTAATAGACGGCATCTGCATCAAAAATCTTTTCACCTACGACACGCGTTGACTCTCCGTCGGGGGAAACTTCTCGAAAGAAGCAGGAGCGATAACCTGTATGACACGCTGCTACCTTCTGCTCAACCTTTGATGAGCAGGGCATCACCATCACAATCTACTGCGATAGATTTAACCGTCTGTGTATGCCCTGAAGTCTCCCCCTTTATCCACAATTTTTGGCGGGAACGGCTCCAGAAGCAGACGCGCCCTGCATTCAGCGTTTCTCTTATCGCCTCCGTGTTCATATAGCCTACCATTAGGATTTCGTTGTTTGTCTCATCTTGAATGACTGCCGCGACTAAACCATCGCGGTCATACTTAAGTTCCGATAAAATTTTCATTTTTTAAATTTTCCTTGCGGTTAACTATTGTAGGTTAGGGATTTAGCGTTCCTCTCTCAAATCCGCTCTCCATTACATTACGAGCTACATGCTTGTGATTTACTTTTGCGGAATCCTTCAGCAAGCGTCAGGAGTCGGAGTTCCCTCCTACAGCCAATACTAATACTACAGGTTAATCTGCAAACTTTGCAAAAAAAATACCCTATGCTGCCGGGATCGGTGTGCATAAGGCTTCAACAGGACTTAAAAATGAAAAATGACGATTTTCAATATCTATTCAGTTATCCGTTTGAACGCACACTCCCCGCATAAGCCATTGGAGCACCACCAATGCCAATCGTTAGATATGCTATGCAAGTTGGAGTGTGAACGTAAAAGTATCATTCTTTTCGCTTCTCAACAACAGTTGATAACTGCCAAATTTTTGCCAAATTTTGGGATGTATCCACGCTTAATATTAATAATACCACATCTATTTTGCATTGTCAAATTTTTTTATTGGAAAAAATATTTGCATAAAATCGTGCAACGTGATATAATATACATATCACTAATTGAATAAACGAACGGTTCAGGTGCCGGAAACTGATAAAAAACCGGAGAATAGGGAAGCGCGGTGAGAATCCGCCACGGCCCCGCCACTGTAAACGATCTGCCTCTATCAAAGGCAATTATCCGCTGAAAAACCACTGTCAAACAACTGATGGGAAGGTTCAACGGAACTCTGTAGTGCGAGTTTTGGCTTGCAACTACGCCAAAAGATCGTAAGTCAGGAGACCTGCCTGAATCATGTTTCACACATCTGCTTTCGCGGGAAAGCGGTGGAACAGAGCACAGTATCCTGTCAAATCAAAAATAGAGATACCGACATAAGGTATGGAATTCTCTCACATTTACAGGATACGCTTTACACAAAGTGTCGCTTCCTCCCCTGTCTTTCCGACGAAAGCAGGGGTTTTTTGTTTCATTACGGAGGTTTTAATGAACAAAGTTTTAGCGGCACCGCTTGCAAGCGCGTCTAAAAAAGTCTTCCGGCGGCACTTCTCGTGTTATTCACTCCTACTTATCGGTGCAATCCTTTTGACGTGCCTCGTGAGTCCTGCTTTAGGACAAACAGAGACTCAGTACCTGACAGTTGTCATAAATGCCCTAACCCAACCCGACTTGGGCATCACCGCTTCACTCTCACTCATCAATCTGGAGGAGCCGAATGAGAGACGGGCTGTTGACAATGAGATAGTCCGTATCGGCACAGTGCCCAGTAACCGAAGAAGGGCAGTTGGGCTTTCCATTCGTGGACATCTCGCCTATATCCCCAGTTTTAACTTACCTATCACGGGTGCCGCAAGTTCCGGCGATAACATTTTGATTGTCAACTTGGAACAGCGAGACATCGTCGGCGAAATCCCGATTCAAGCCGGCACAACCCCTCAGCAGATCGCTATTATTGACGAGAACAAGATGTACGTCACCTGTGCCGAGACGCATGAGGTGCATGTCATTGACATCGACAATCGCAATGTGACAAAGAGCCTCGCCGGTTTCTTCAACAAGCCAGCGGGTATCACGCTCCTCAACGGCAAAGCCTACGTCACAAACCAGGCATGGGAGTACGATCCGGTTGAGCGGAAAACCTCCTATTACGATAGCAGCGTTACAGTGATTGATACAGAGACAGACATCGTGTTGAAATCTATTCCGGTGCCGACAAACGCAGGCGGAATCCTCAATGATGGCGAATCCACCGTCATTGTCAAAACAACGGGCAATTACAATGACATCTTGGGGAATCTCGTTCTGATTGATGCGAATACCGATGAGATCGTGGAAACGGTTAAACTCAAACTGACACCTGGCTCCTTCGCCCTCAATTCAGAAAAGCAGTTGTTTATCCAAGGCAGCTGGCAAAATCCCGGCTTGCTTATCTACGATATCGTAGCGCGAGACTGGATTCGGGATGAAGACAATACGCTTGCTAATTTCAGTAACGATGCAGATGCCTCTATCAGTGGAGGTCTGACTTTTGCACCGGATGGAAATCTCTATATCACCCAACCCGACTGGTCGGGTAGTGGGCAGGATTTCGTTCGCGTTATGGACGTAGCAGATGCATCTCTCCTGCGAACCTATCGCGTTGGACCCGGCGGCTCTATTTTGGGGTTCGCAACGATTATTCCGCGACGCGAAGACATTAATGATGACGGGTTCGTCAACATGAAAGATATGATAATCGCAGGACGTTTTCTCGGTGACGAGGGTGCCGGAATACTTGCCGATGTCAATGGAGACGAAGTGGTTAATATCCTTGATCTGGTGCTGATCGGTCACGGACTCTAACTTAACATTCATAGGTGCGATAGCCATGGCACACGTCTTCGCAGTGAGAACAGTCGCAAACGAGGTGCAAGTGTTCTCACTGCGAAGCCCCTAAAGGTGTTGTGGCGAAGAACGCTTTTGCAACTTTACACTACAGATTTTGGACACTTTGACAACTCTCTGAATCGAACACCATATCAATCTACAGTAGAGAAGGTCTTATGGGTTTTGCCGCTGCTCGTTTTTTTGCTCAGTTGCGCCTCAACCCCCAAAGAAGAACCGGTCTCATGGAAGGTAACGTTTTTTTCATTGGGGGCAAAGGTGCAATTTGGTACGACAGCACCGATACAACACCTAAGTGCCTACAATTCTGATGATGTGAGGGTCGCACAACTCAACTTTCCTGTGGCACCCCGTCAGACAGAATCCCTTTATTTTCAATGGAGCGAAGGGGAGACCTATAGGTTTGAGGCGATCTTATCCACAGGGGATATTACGGTTCAAAGCGTGACGGCACCGCGGACATACACACAGGGGAATTTAGAGATCGCTATTCCCTATGGTGCCGCAATTGAATCGGATTTAGGAGATGCATCAGGAAACGATCGGAAGGCACTCGTTTTGCATGACAGTGAAATGACTGCCACGGTCCTCGTTACAAACGGGAATACACCAACGACCTTTGATCTGGAACTTTGTCTACCATCAACCGTAACCGCGGTTCGCTTTCCAGTAGATTGGAAGCGTGAAACAATGGATGCGAAAACGTGCCTCTCTACCACCAGTAGACTTGGCATTGCATCGGAGGTGTGGTACCGTGAATTCGTTTTGAGAACATCCACGGCAAATCAATCGGACGCACAAGAGATTTCAGGGCTTGTCCGTTTCACAACAGATGCAGGACAGACATGGGAACAGCCAGCAATCGTGCAACTGCGGATAGCAACTATCTCTGAGATCGCCGAACACCTCTCCATAGAATCAATTCAGATGCCTACAGACGCAACAGGTGCGGCTGACCCGAAACAGCGAGAAGATGCCATCTACTATCCGCGACCGTTATTCAGTTGGCTCCGAACGCCACAGACCAATGCCTTCGAGCCGACAACTTATCAAACAGTCCAACTTCGCAATCGAGGTGAAGAAACGATCCACGTGGTTTTGTCATCAACCAACACAGATACGAAGAGTGGCGAAATTATTCCTTTTCTCGCACCTCCAGAGACAGCGAACGGGGGGACGCATCGGAGCGTAGCGTTTGCGAGTCTGCCCGGTGGCACGGTTACAGAAATTCCGTTGCCCATCTATTTTCATCCGATATATTTAAAACAGGGAAACCAGCCGGAACAGGCGATCCCGGGGGAATACGAACGTGACATTACGGTAAAGGTTTGGGGAAGTGACGCGACAATTCTTCGCGAACAACGCCCGTTGCACCTGGTCGTTCCAAATCAACAAGCATTGCTCGTGAGTCTATTGGCAATCATCAGTAGTTGTATCGGTTTCGCAGTTGTCCTACGGTTCCACGAGCGACTTTTCGCAGGTTTCACAACGAAACATCTAATTGTGATTGCCCTGTTCAGCACAACGGTTTTCGTGGCGGTGATGGTTCCGTCAACACTGTTCCTTAATTTAGTCAGTGCCATCTTAGGACCTGTCTCTGTCCTGCTGACTGGCTTAATCAACGAGACGCTCTACTACGCCTTATTGACAGCACTGCTGGTTTACATCAACGGGGACCCAAGACACACTGGGACCACCAATCAGGGACGCGCGAAAGGTAGTGGCGTAATCTTGCTTGTCTCTGCAGTGCGTCTACTTTTGGGAGGCGTAACTTTCGGACTTTTCACGCCGATGGCACTCGTTTATACCGGCACAAGTGTCCTTCTACTGGAAACGGGATTCCTGCTGGTGCGGAAACGCAATCTGCTGGTGTGGGCAGTCGTATTGGGCATCTGCGACGCGCTCTCCGTTTACGTTGATTTTCAACTTTCTATACTGTTCTACCGACTTTTCTACGCTGATTGGTATATCGTTCTCCGAATCCTAATAGAAGGGTTTATCTATACATTTATTGGTGTTCTTCTCGGTGCACGGTTGGGTAGAGGCTTATGGCGCGTGGCAGATTAAACCATCGCATCTATAGACCGCTTGTGCAGTTTCATGAAGTTTAAGTATTTAATCGGGTAATTTCCGAACGTGCTATAAATAGCACTACTACAAGCAACCTCGTTTGTAGTAGGGCAATTCATGGTCTCCCGTCAATTACCAAATCATTTTTTATCTTCATCTAACAGCACCGGATAACGCACAAAACCCACGAAATCCACGAAATCTGTGATTCAAACAGCACGGAAAAGTTACAATACAAACATAAGGAAATATCAGAATGAAGCGAATTCAGTTTTTGAGCCTACTTTGGCTGTTCGTCACCTTACCGCTTAACATCACGACGGCAGATATGAACCTTACTTGGGTCCGGGCAGGTGTAGTGTTTGAAACGGAACACAAAAACGGCGTTGAAGGCGAAATTAACATTACATTCGAGACGAGCGGCACAGCGCACGAATTAGCCGAAAGACCGGCAATCCAAAGGCTTGATGCAAATCGCGTTTTGTTCCAATTTGCATGGCAGCCGAACCAAAATTACCAATTTCACTTGAATGATAGCGAAATAACAGCGACCTCACCGCTGAAGCCAGAGCCTTATCTCATCCGCACCGTCGAATTAGATGGACTCTTGTCGTTGATGGAAAACCTTCGTCAGCCAGCGAAACCCACAGCACTTGCCTTAGGGTATGGAAATACGCCTAAATTCGCAATCGCAACCGACAGCGGGCACCTCGCGGTACTCCAACCGTTGACCGGTGAAATACTCTGGAAAACTCGCATCTCTGAAGGCTACGTGAAGCAGATGACGTTCAGTCGCGATAATACGGTACTCTATGTTGGCGAACAAGCGGTAGATGGATTTATCTACTGCTATGACCTGACGACCGATAAACCGACACTTCGCTGGAAATACCGCACTGCCGATGACATCGAAACCTCCACGCCGACTAATCCTGATAGTGTCTATGCGTGGGTGAGTTACCCCGGTCCATCGTGCATGCGAACGTTGGCGAACGGAGACCTTTTAGTGGCAAGCGTGCACTCGTGGACAGAGAATAACACGCCACTGAAGAAATCCCAACTCTACAGATTCAACGGAAAAACGGGAGATGTTATCTGGAAATGGACTCGTGAGGGCACGGTGCCGAAGGTAATGCGTTGGTTTGACGTAAGTGCTGATGGAAAAACGCTCGCGCTCTTAACAGATAGCGGGCATAACTTGCAAGGGAGTGCAACGGATGAAAGCGATGCTGGCAACGGGAAGCTTTCTGTCCTCAACGCAGAAGATGGAACAGAAAAGTGGCACGTGGATATTGAACCGTTGCGCGAGTATTTCGCGCAGGTCACATTCTGGAGAGGTGTCAGCATGTCTCCCGACGGTAACTCATCAATGTGACAACCGACGATGGACGCGCATTTATCTTTGACGTGAATCAGAGCGGAACCGATATGGCAGGAAAACCTGGCGACTCCACTGGAGGTGAGTGGAATCCCTATTATAGCAACTACTGGCACGATCGGCGCGACAGATGCCGCAGCACTCTTCGTTACAGGAGACACGTACATCCCATATCATCTCCGGAAGGGGCACAAAAGCCCGCAGCAGGACATCCCAACGGAATGACGCTGTTCGCCTATTCGTGGCGTGGCGAAAAGATCTGGCAGTGGAAACTTGAGAATATGCCACAAGGTTTACGCATTGACGCGGAGGATCGTTATGCCGTGCTATCGGTTTCCAAGCGAGCACAGGACCCGAATGAGAGCCTCCACGGGGTGTCAGTGTTTGATCTGACCGCAGAGGATAACGGCTTGGCGAAGTACCTGTACACCTACCGCACAGAGGGGCAGCTTCCATACGACACACTCGTCATAAGTGCGGATGGTGGTCTAATCGTTGTGGTTGAGGTCCCGATCGCGATGTCAGACGAAACCGTCCGGGGAAAGAATCGCGTGCATGTGCTGTATTGATATAGCAGTCGGCTTTCAGCCTGCTTCGCAGTGAGAACAAAGAGGGTTTTCTTGGTGACGGTTTCCGAAGGCTAACGGCTGATGGCTCTTAAAAACTGGTTCCAGAATGGGTTTTGACAAACTTAGATGTCTGGTATATACTTACTGTGAAAGCTTTCGATTTTACCAAATATAGAAGCAGTACAACAGATTACCCGAAATGCTATTATAGTAAAGCCCGAAAATATGTGAACACCGAGGATTTGGGCCTTCCCACCTCGCTGGCGAGGTTTCCTAACCTCGCCAACTCTAATGTGTATAGGTAATTATAGGCTTTACTATAAACCGTATTGCTTCTCTTTTTGTTAGAGATACCTTAGACACCACAAAAATACAAGGGGAACAACAATAGTGTTGTTCCCCCTGATCGCAACTTCAAAACAGTGTACAAAAATCCCGAAGACGACTACGCCTCTTTACTGTGACACCACATTCTGAGCAACAGCGTTCTGCGTCGATACAATCACGCCCTGTAACGCCTGAAAATAACTCATTTCAGCCATCTTGATTGCATGCGTATCTCCGCTTGCGCGTGCCCGTCTGAGTGTCTCCCAACTCAACGCCAGCATCCGGTTGGTTTGCTCTAAAATTCTCCAATCCGTATTTGAAATCATGGTATCCTCCCGAAATCTGCTTTACGCTATTGGCGGTTTGTTGTTCCGCTCAAACAGCGCATTCAATGCCTCGCTCAGCAGGTCTTGGATACTCGTGTCTCTTTCAATCGCGAGTATCTTCAACTGCCGATGCACGTCCTTGTCGAAATGTCCAGAAATCATCTTTTTGCCCTGACGGGATGGCGGTACCGCTGGCGTTAGTTTCGGTGTTGTCCCAACGGTAACTCCGTCCTTGTCTGACAGAATTGCTACTGTTTTCATATGGTTTATGCCTCCATACATATGCACATGCAAACATGTATACATGTATGAGAGTATAAAACGTCAGCTTTGCAAGTCGGTTTCAGATGAGTGAAAATTTAATTTTCGGATTTTTGGCTTCCATATCTGGATGGGAGATTGGAACGCGTTGGTTTTCTCTTGATAAAGACTGGCATAGCTATTAAAATAGCAAACGTTTATCACGACATTTTTGCTAATTTTGACACGGGCGATGAGAAATAGAAAAGGAGTCGACAAAATGAGAAGATGCTTCTGGATGCTCGCGGTTTCTGCATTTTGTATTTTAACTTTCGATGCAACCGCTCAAGTGACGAAAGGTTTACATTTCTATATGCCGTTTAACGAAGGGAAAGGTAAGGTTGCCAAGGATGTCGGTCCGAAAGGTTTTGAAGCCGAGCTTCACGATAGCGCGAAATTTGTTGCCAAAGGTAAGGTGGGGAGTGCCATTGAATTTTCGGAAGGTCCGGCACTGATAATCGAACCGGGAGGTCAGAGCGAACTCTATGTGGAACATCTGACCGTTGCCGTTTGGATACATCCTTTTGAAATATCAAATGTTGCCCTCGGTGACGGACACGTCTATGGGAATATCTTTTACGACAAATCGGGTACAAGCGACGATAACGTTGAATTTGGACTCGGTAGCGGCGAAGGATTGTATTGGTATATCAATTCCGGGCAGAAGAAAATGGGACCATTTAACGGTGCCGATGTTGATGTGACACTTTCATTACCTAACTTAGGCTTAAAACCGAAGAACTGGTACCACGTCGTTGGGGACTTTTGATGGAGAGAAGATTCAGATTTATCTTGATGGGAAACTTGAAGGTGAAAAAGATGTGCCAAAGAATGGTCCCGTGATGGTCTGGAACGACAACAACATTGAAATTGGAGGACGACCCGATACAAACGGCGGTGCAAATCTCTACAAGGGCATGCTCGACGAATTGGCGGTATATGACCGCGCGTTAACAGCGGCAGAAGTTGAGACGGTCATGAACGCCAGAGATATATTGACCGTGGATGCCGCAGGCAAACTGACAATGATATGGGGTGCGCTTAAGGCGAAATAGCAGTCACACTCCGTGTGCCCTAACACAACCCATCTCCAAATGGTAGGTGCGGTTTCCCAACCGCACCATAGGGGTCAATTTAATGTCATTTATTGATAGTCAATAATTGCTGCAATCGCTGTCCCAATCTCATCCATGAGTGTTGCGGTGAGCCGGCCTCGCTTTGTAAGGAAGCGTTGAACATCTATCCCTTTCATCTGGATGGTATCCACCGCTGACTCCATTGTCAAACCGTTGGCATTATCAGGTTGGACCTTAACGAGCCAGATCTTGCCCGAAAACCTTGCTTTCCAACTCGTGATTGGGGCGACTAACTTTATCTGCATATGTCTGATGCTATTGATGTTCACCACCACGGCAGGACGTATTTTCTGAATCTCTGTACCAACAGTCGGATCGAAGTTTACATCCCAAACTTCTCCCCGACGCGGGTTAGGGAGTATCATACTCGACAACGGGGCCTCCTTCCCATTCCCGCCATTCTGTATCGTTTTCGTAGAAATCCGCCATCTCCTTTGCTTGTTCACTTAGGATGCGGTCTCTTTCCTCTTTTGGTAGTTCTAAGAATTGACGACGCTCGCTAAGTGATCGGTTAGCAGACGGTTCCATCACATGATTAAGGAGTTGATCGGCTTCCGTTTCGGTTATCAATTCCTCGGAAAGCGCGCGGAGTACTTGCTGGTGAAATCGCTCCGGCTTTTCAGGTAGTATCTCGATCGGCTCACACTTTTTCCAGCCGAACTTGTTGATTTGGATGCACCACTGCCTATAGTAAGTCTCAGTAATAATCCGCAAATCCTTCAACCGAAATAGCATCGCTTGAATGCTCATGCCATAACGCTTTTTGAGATAGAAGAGCTCGTCTTTTTGAATGCGGTTTCGTTTCTCACCAACGTCGCGACGCAACTGCTCGGCGGGCGCTAGAAACGCGGCTCCGAACCGAAAAGCGGCTTTTTCCGGATCAATGTCCTTGCGTAAATCCAAAATGAGATGCCCGAGTTCGTGGGTGATGTTGAGTCGCTGCCGATCTCCCGGCACCCCGCTGCGCGTCGCAATTGCTGCCGCGAGTAGATTGTCGTCGGTGTCCCGTGCTACAGCAGAAATACCATCAAAAGCTTCACTTGCATCAACCTCAATGATATGGATGTAATGATCTTCAAGCACATCTATAAGGTTTGCAATTGGATCAATGCCCAAATTCAACGTGCTACGAAGTCCAAGAGCAGCTTCTTCTGCATCATCCAGATTGCGCACGGTAGCACTGAGCACAGGGAGTTCAACGGTGTTTCCTTCACAAATTTGCTCTTGCAGCTGCACCCGTTTCTCAAATTCTTCCGCCACAAAACTCTGTATCCGTTCTTGTTCTCTCTTACCCAAACGAGCGTGTTTTCGGAAGGCAATCCATTTAACATGACAAGGCGGCTCACTCCACAATTGGGCGGACTTAACCCCAAGTGCGGAAGCGATCTGATTCAGCGTTGTCGCCGTCGGTTGCAGTTTCCCGCGTTCATACTTTGACAGCGTCTGACTGCTAACCAACCCATCAACTGTAGCCTCCAAGTCCCCGAGGGACATACCACGGGCAACTCTAAATCTTCTCAGCCGTTCTCCTAACATGATTATGACCCCCTCATCCATTTTCGAGAAAATTTGGTAAAGCCGTGAATTGGGTCTCGCATTTCATAAGAAGTTCTATCATACCTTTAATTATACCACTTTATGTTAAGTAATTCAAGTTAGTTTTCACTATTTTCGGATTCTTCCGAGTTTTTTCGGGTTACGGCATACTCATAAAATCCGTAAATGACGGTATTGCGATAATATTTAAGGAGCCTTTTATACATATAGAAGAACAGGAAAACTAATAAGAAACCAACTCCAGTCAAAATAGTGAAAGACCATTTGATAGATTCAGATAAAAGCCATAAATGAGTACCCCGTACCAAAAACCCAAGTGCCGCTAAAAAAGATATGGACATCATTATTTTAGCAGACTCGTGTCTAGAAAGCAAAACAAAAGCACGGGCATAGACGGTAGGACTTTGCTTAATGAGAACACTACGACAAAAATCGAAAATCTCTGTGTACTCTACATCTTTCTCTATCTTATCGACTCTAATTGCGAAAATATTTTCAATCTGATTTCTGAACTCGTGTACAAACTGTTTTGAATATGGATTAAAATCGTCAGAAGAGTCCCTAAGCTCAGGCTTGAATACTCCTTTCATAAACCATCCACTATCTGTATGTAATTTTTTTAACCATTTCCATCTAGAATGTCCGGATTTATCAGGATAATGACGATAACTATTACAATGGTCCCTGGCAAGGTATACCCTAAAAAATCATACAGACTAAATGGAATACGCATCGATTTCACCTTTTAAAAATGAATCTGCTTTACCAAAGAGGAATGCACGAATCACTCACCAAAGATATCTTCGTGTAGTTCCTCATAGATTTTCATGCCGGGTTGAATGCGCGGGGCGAGTATATCCATCATAAAACTTTCCCTAGTATTTCCCAAGTTAGCTGATTTCAAAACTTTTTGGGCAGCACCATGGATAGGCTGAACAATAGGTTTCAGATTATCAGATGATTTTAATTTATTCTTCTGAAGGGTATCCTGTTTTGCAGTAAGTAAATCGTTAACTTTATCAGACTCGCCGTGATCTTCACATAACTTAGCTAGCACCTCGTCATCAAGGAGGTAACTTTCAATGGTTTTCCGTGATAAAGTGCGGATGCCTTTTTTGGCGTTCCGCTTTATTTCGTCGCATGTTGCTTTATCCCTGTCCACGATCCCGATAACTTTTACGCTTTCCGAGATTTTCTCAAGTGCAAGATTCGCTGCTGTTACAGACTTTTCTACGTTGCTTCGCGCCCCCAGAGAAACAAAACGAACTTCAGGGTACCGACCCTTAAAAATGTTCCTATAGCATACTTCATCAAACTCTTCGCCCTCACAGAACACAGTCCGCCCAGTTATCACTAATTCAGCAAGGTCGCCGAGAGCAACTTCATAGGTACGTGCCCAGAAATCTGGATCCGGAGTCATGGGTTTGAGTGTTACTTTTTTGTCAAAATTATGGTTGCCAAAATCAAGAAATACAACTGCATCTGGATTCTCGCGCCAGAGGTCCTGCGCCTTGCGCACCATACCAACAGAATGCGTGGCAATCCACAACTGGGATTTAGGAGAAATACGGTTATAGAGTACCTGAAGGAGTTGCCCCTGTAGTTTCGTATGGATGTGGAGTTCTGGTTCGTCAATACAAATTACGGTTTCATCGTCTATAACCTTTTTGATAACAATATCCAGAATTAAGTCGAACATTGCTATTTCACCCACGGATAGATTGGGGAAAGCAGGTACTGTCTTGTCATACCGCAATAATTTTGGATCGTCAAACAATAGACAGGGAAACAATGCCTTTTCCAAAATTAATTTTGAAACAGGATTGGTAAATAATTGTGTTATAGCGTTGATCGTCTCCTCAACAATTTCTTTTTTGGAATCTAACACCATTTCCGCGTATTGTTTTAGTTCCTGTGGTGGTTTTGGTGGAGGTTCTGGTCTATAGTGTCCAAACATATCTTCAAGTTCCGAGTCATGAGTCATTTTATGAACAAACAGGGTCCAATAATTTAGTCCAAATGTATGATCTTCTTCCTTCTCAGTTGGTGGTACGCTTAATTTTAATCGTAGTTTCTCAGCACTGTGAGTTGAGAAAAGATCAGAATGTAAAGGATGTAAATAATTTCTGAGTGAGGAACGTGTGTGCACTCTCAATTTATCTCCTTTTGTCTCCTGTTCATGATGAAGCACGACATTAACACAATGAGCTAGAACTGCCTTACTTACTTTCGTGGCGCGCGAAGTAACACCTTTAAGAAACGCTCGAGAATAACTCGTAGTACACATAGAAACAATGTCTTCAACAGCCACGGGAAAAAAGGGGATAGGATTGTCATTTTTAAGGTAGTAATCTATCATGTGGGAAAGCTTAAGCGGGTCAATAACTATATCATCGGAAGGGTATGCACTATTTCTAAGGATATAAGTATAGCAATTCAGGGCATCAAACACTGATGACTTGCCGCTTCCATTAGGACCTATCATTACCACGAGTTTCGCCGTTTTAGGTAATCCTTCAATGGTTAAATCTGTGAAGCGTTTAAAATTCTTGAGTTTAATCGATTTTATCTTCATATTACACATTCATCCCCGCATCCCGATAGGTTTGCTCAATTAATGCAATTTCTTTTACCGATAATCCATACAACTGATATACCAACGCATCAATCTCTTTCTCAAGATCGCGGACATCCTCATTCTCTGGATCCTCCAAAATCTGTTCTACTAACCGCGAGAGTTCTGCTTTCTGGTTTAGTGTCCGGTCTGCTATTGGGACATGATGCATGTATTGGGCAATAAAACGCAATCTGCCACCTGACCAAGGGTCATTAAGGCTCTGGAATTTGTATTTCGCATACCAATCAAAGAGTCTACTATTCAAAATTGCAAGTAGGGAGAAATCATTAGTGGGTAAAATGTAGGTACTTTGCAAGCAACGTATCTTTGTAGTATCATAGCAAGCGCGCATTGATGAACTAATATCAGGATAAACAATCTTGGGTTCGTCAAATTCAGTGTAATAAGTGTTTGCACAGCGTTGCAGTGCGTACCATTCATACCGAATTCCGGTCTCCGATCAATTGTAAAATAGGCGGAGACGAAGGAAAGGGACGCACCGTCTTGGATTTTATCCTTCAGGAAATTGGCAACGGTGCCGTACATATTGTTATCTCGGATACGGGAGTTTTCTGACATTGTGTTATCTTCTGTAAATCTAACACTGTACGTCCACGTCAAGAAGCATTTTCGGACAATGTTCTGCACAATCTCTACTTGTCTATGCTGCCGACGAGATTTGGTTTTTGTTTTCTCTTAAGACGCAAAAACTTTACACCTTGCTTCTTAAGTTTTTCCTGCCTACGTATCACATCAGCACAGTACTTATGAATGTCGCCGTTGAATCGCGCATTAACTTGTCGCTTTGCTTCGCGAACTTCTTCCAGAATATCGTTCATGTTTCAATCTCCAGTAGTTGTATCGGAGTTAGGATCTTAACAGGAAAATAGCCTGCTGCCTTACAAACCCGGTCAAACTGAATTTCTTGATTTGGATTGGCAAGATGCCTAAGGTTCCATGTAGTGAGGTAGGGAATCCCGTTTACGGTAGCTACTGCTACATGTATTGCATCACTTTCCTGATCTGGAGGCAGAACCCGTGCTTGGAGCAGTAGTTCAGCGAGAAACTCAACTTCTTCTGTGATTTCAAGAATACCTAATTTTTCAATGGCTTGCAATCTGAGTTTTACTTTATTCGAATGTCTTCCAGCTTGAATTTCGTCTATGACCCGTTGGGAAATAACAAACTGAAACCGTTTGTCTTTCCATAAGCGAGAAGTTACCTCTTGCATCTCAGCAATCTCGGGTTCTGTTCTATGATCTCGGATTAAGAAACTTGGAATCGACGTATCTAAATAGACAAACACAGTGTCCCGCTTATATTTTTGCTTAATAGTATCAAGGGCACGGCAAGTTACTGAAAGCAAACCAGTCTCGTTACTATTCTACTTGAAATCAATTCGTTCAACCTGTCTGCATTATAAAACATTGTGCCATAATATTCAAGTGAAATTGATTAAAATTCGCAAGCACAAAAATCCGAAATCTGCTATACTAATTGCAAACCCGCATTCAAAACTACAGGTGAAAAAATGACAAAATGGACAGCCTGCGTGGCAATGCTCCTCTGTTTCGGAGTTGCTATTCATAGCAGTAACGCAAAAAAAATGACATTAGATGATATTTTCCCTACTGATCGGGTTATAGACGTTCAAATCACCGTTTCGCAACGAGGTTGGGATACGATCCGGTACCAGTCCCGCAATTTTATGACAGCACTCGGTGCGTCTCGGCAATTTAAGCCGATGGAGAGTCCGTATACCTATGTTGAGGCAAACGTCAGTATTGATGGTGTAGTCTTTCCAAAGGTAGGGTTGCGTAAAAAAGGGTTCATCGGTTCACAAAGCAACACCCGTCCCTCTCTCAAAATCAAACTAAATCACGTCGACAAAAAGGGTGGAATTAAAGGACTGACGAACCTGACACTTAATAACAATAAACAGGACACAAGTTTAGTGAACCAATTTATGGGGTATGCGCTGTTTAATGCAATTGGATCGCCCGCGCCACGCTGCGCGTATGCAAAAGTGACAGTGAACGGCGAAAACCTCGGTATATACTCGCACGTAGAGACCATCCGTAAACCGTTGTTGAAACGCGCCTTCGGCAACAGCAAGGGTCCCCTTATGAAGGGACAGTTGTGGATTTTTACGAAAAGGGTGGGAAAACAGTTTCGAACATAAACGTGGTGATGACACACACGGGAGAGCACAAATCAATGCTTTAATCGACCTTCTGGCCGACCCGAAAGCGACAGAGGCGGACATTGGTGAGTTGGTAGATTTGGAGTCGTTTTACAGATTCTGGGCAACTGAAGGTTTAGTCGGATTCTGGGACGGTTACTCCAGCAATAAAAACAACTTCTTTGTCTATTTGAACCCGGAAGACGATAAATTTTACTTCATTCCATGGGGCATGGACTCTATCTTTACGAAGATGAGTAAACTTGAATTCATGAACGACAGACGCGCACCGATCTCGGTCAAGACACAGGGCTTGATCGCATATAAGTTGTATCAACTGGAGTCCGGACGGAAACGGTATGCAGAAGTCCTCACCGGGATTTTAGACAAGCATTGGAATGCCTCAGAACTGTTAGCCGCGTTAGACAAAATCGCTGTAATGATCGAACCACATTTAGCACCCGTCCAACGTGTCATTGAGCAAGAGGATTGGGGTAAACGTGGAGGATGGGAAGAGTCCAAGAGACCAACCTTCGCAAGCGAACTGGAGGAAGCGCGCGACTTCATCCGCAACCGCAAAAGTGACATACAGGCAGAAATTGCCAACGGAATGCCGGTATGGCGCAGGCGACCGGACCCGCCGTTTGTCTTTCCAGAGGATGGCGACTTCGCAAAAGGGTTCCTAAAATCAATAGAAAATACCTTAGTCGGTGCCGCACGCGATGGAGATATCAAAGCCATCAAACAACACATAGCGGAAGATGCCGATGTTAATGCGTTGAATTTTGAGATGCCGCCGTTGGCTTGGTCAGTAATGATGGGTCAGACAGAAGCCGCTGAACTGCTACTCCAACATGGTGCGGACATTAACGGCAGAAACAAAGACGGTAACACTGCCTTGCATCTTGCTGCGTTTTTCGGGCGCGCCGATGTGGCGAAACTTCTTCTGGAAAATGGCGCAAACCCCCAAGCACGCAACAATGACGGGGCAACACCAATAGATGTCTTATATGTTGATTGGGAAACGACTGCCTTCATCGGCAACTTGGTCGGTGTAGACACCGGGAAGGAAGATATCGCAGCGATGAAAACAGGTAGAAACGATGTGGCGAAACTCTTCGGGGTCAAAGGGACATTCGACGATGCGGGCACATCCTCTGCACAGAATTTATCGGCAGCAGCGTTCACCGGCAATCTCGCAGCGATGAAACAGGCTTTAGCAGACGGCGCAGACCCCAATACGAAGGACCCGACATCCGGAGGTACGCTGTTGTCCACTGCCGCGTTGATGGGACACACGAAAGTTGTGGCACTGCTCCTTGAACACGGCGCGGACATTAACGCGAAAAGTCGGGATGGTGGAACAGCACTGCATGCAGCGGCTTTCCTTGGTCGTGTTGAGACGGTGAAACTTCTTCTTGATAAAGGGGGCGGATACCACGCTCCGAAGCAACATGGGTGGCACAGCGATAGATGGCGCAAAACTGAACTGGCTGATAACCAAGGGTATACTCGGAATGTTGAAACTTGAAGTGGACGAGGCAGAGGTGAAAGCCGGCAGAGTCGAGGTTATAAAACTGCTCGAAGGACAAAATAAATAGAGGCATCGCGATCGGAAGATCGCTCTTATAGGGGAGGAAACCGATGCTTAACTCGCAAACGAACTCTGAATCCATTCCCGAGAGCGCAGCACACGGAAAACCTATAACACCGGAAGAGTTTCTTGAAAACGATTTTGAGGGTTATGAATATGTAAAAGGAGAATTAGTCCCAATGTCACCACCCTCGATGGAACATGGTGAAATAAGTATCAAGGTTATTCGCTATTTGGATTTACATGTTCATACACATCAGTTGGGACATTTATATACTGCCGAAACGACGTTTCAATTGGAAGATCGGTTGGTGAAGCCGGATGTTGCGTTTGTCTCAACCGACCGGCTGCCGGAAAACAGACGCCAAGGCTCACCTGTACCGCCTGACCTCGCTGTTGAGATAGTCTCTCCGACAGATCGACAGTATGATGTTACCGAGAAAGCATTCGCCTATCTGAAAGCGGGGACACGTCTCGTTTGGGTTATTGAACCCGTTGCAAAGACAGTAATGGTCTATCGTTCTGAAACAGATTTCACGCTGCTTACCTATGCAGATACATTAACGGGTGAGGATGTCGTCGAGGGATTTACGTGTCCAGTTGCACAACTTTTTGAATAGGAGCTGCGGGCAGATACAGAAACCTACTCCAACATTAAAGAGAGAAGAAACGGAGATACAGTACAATGGCAAAACCGATTAACTACAGTGACATCTTAGAAACCGGTGATAGCGAAATTTATGACATCGAAACGCATGCCGCTGGTCCCGAAGGCAGTCTGCCGCTCACGGCAGAGATGCTCCTCAATCGACCCAGTGGGGACGTATTTGGCTTGACCCACAACGCTGCCATGGGTTGGGCTCCGTCGGAACTCCGACGAGAGGAATTCTTAATCCTCAGCACACAGGGGGGTATCCGCGCCCCTGATGGCAGTCCTATCGCGCTCGGGTATCACACCGGACATTGGGAAGTGGGGCTCCTGATGCAGGCGGTCGCGTATGAACTGAAGAAACTTGAGGGGATTCCGTTTGCGGGCTACTGCTCCGATCCGTGTGACGGACGGACACAAGGCACCGTCGGTATGATGGACAGCCTCGCCTATCGCAACGACGCCGCACAGATTTTTCGTCGCCTCATCCGCTCTTTACCAACGCGGAAGGGGGTCGTTGGTGTTGCCACATGCGATAAAGGCTTTACCCGCAATGATGATGGCACTCGCTGCAATGCGGGAATTACCGGCTGTCCTCGTTCCGGGTGGCGTGACGTTGCCACCTACCACTGGCGAAGATGCAGGGAAAATCCAGACGATCGGTGTTCGTTTCGCACACGGTGAGATTAGCCTGCAAGATGCAGCGGACATGGGTTGCCGTGCCTGTGCGACCGCTGGGGGAGGTTGTCAATTCTTGGGAACCGCAGCGACATCGCAGGTTATCGGTGAAGCGTTAGGGATGAGTCTGACGCATACAGCATTAGCACCATCCGGACAGAACATCTGGTCGGACATGGGACTCCGTTCCGCACGCGCTGTTGTAAATTTAGCCGCGAAAGGGTTGACGATGAACGATATCGTTACACCAGAGGCGATTCGGAACGCCATGGTAGTGCACGCGGCATTTGGTGGATCTACGAATCTTCTGTTGCATATTCCCGCGATTGCGCATGCCGCCGGTCTTCGACGTCCAACGGTAGACGATTGGACAGAAATCAATCAACGTGTCCCGCGCCTCGTCGATGTCCTGCCAAATGGACCTGTTGGACATACCACAGTGAGAGTTTTCCTCGCCGGTGGAGTGCCCGAGGTGATGCTCCACTTACGTGAATTAGGGTGCCTCAACGAAGACGTACTAACGGCAACAGGCGAAACTCTCGGTAGTAACCTCGATTGGTGGGAAAATTCTGAACGACGCGCGCGCGTCCGTCAAACGCTGGAAGACAAAGATAACGTTGACCCTGATGAAGTGATTCTGAGTCCGAATGCCGCGAAGGTAGCAGGATTGACAAGCACAGTGACGTTCCCACGCGGCAACCTCGCACCTGAAGGATCTGTCATTAAAAGCACCGCCATTGATCCGAGCGTCGTTGATGCCGATGGTGTGTATCGGATGACGGGACCGGCGCGTGTCTTTGTTCGGGAATCCGAGGCGATACAGACCCTCAAAGGTCAGGGTGAAAGGAATATCCAGCCAGGTGACATCATAGTGTTGTGCTGTCGCGGTCCCCAAGGCACAGGAATGGAGGAAGTTTACCAGCTGACAGCAGCGTTGAAACATCTTTCCTTCGGAAAAACCATCGCCTTGATTACGGACGCCCGGTTTTCTGGCGTGTCAACGGGAGCATGCATTGGACACGTCGGACCGGAGGCTCTCGCAGGTGGTCCCATTGGGAAGGTACTTGATGGTGACATAATTCAGATAGAGGTCGATACCCTGCAGCTGGAAGGAAGCATTAATCTCGTCGGACATGGCAGCGAACACTTCGGTGCTGAAGCAGGTGAACAGGTTTTGGTAGCACGCGCACCGCGTCCAGATCTCGCGCCAGATGAGGCTTTACCAGATGATACGCGGCTTTGGGCAGCGTTGCAATCTGTCTGTGGTGGCACATGGGGTGGTTGCGTTTACGATGTAGACGCGATCCTTAATGCCTTGAAGTAGGTGCGTTTTGATGAAGCTTGCGAATCTTTGAAACTTCCCATGAAGAGTTTGAAGTATCGTAAAATCTATAATTATATTTGTATCCTGTGCACCTGGGTAGGTTCGGTCTCAAACAGTGCTTACAGAGCAGTGTCCCCATATTTTCGGATTTTACACTATTGGGCACCGCCTCTTCTGTACATGGTACTCGTTTTTGTCGTCTCGTCTTTGGAGCAACCACCGCTTCCAATGCCAGAATTTGAGTGGCTGACGATTGACAAACTCTACCATTTCATCGAATACGCCATCCTCAGCGGATTAGTAGCACGAGCACTTGTGAAGGCGAAACCGCCGGTAGTGCCAGCACGACTGGTGTGGCATGTGGCGGCGGTATTCTCTATTCTCTATGGTGCGAGCGACGAATGGCACCAGACCTTTGTTCCTGGCAGATTTGCTACCGTGGCAGATTGGGTTGCAGATGTATTGGGATCAATTGCTGGTGTGTTAAGCGTCTATCTCTATTATAGAAGACAGAGCAAGAAAAGGAGGACACACCTGTAGGGAGGTTCATTTCCGACACTTACACAACATTTGAGCCCTGTGTGAGTTCGGATATCTTAATCGGGAATAATCCTCGATACCTGCAGACGGGGATATCCACATTTCAAGATTTTGGAGAGGGGAAACAATGCAAGCCCCAGTGTTTTGGATGCGAGCGTTTCCTTACGATTGGACCCGCAAATAGGTCTAAAATAATAGGTTAAGTCTTAAAGCTGCACGCAACGGAAACCGTAGTCATAGATTGTGTTCATGGGCGAAATCCTGAGACGATGGGAGACGCAGATGCCTTGTGGTGGAGCACTCCAACCACCACCGCGCAACACGCGCTCAGTTGTAATGTCCATGAAATTGTTTATTATCCACTCTGGTTCATTCGTACCTGAGCGTGGATTCTTGCGAGGCGATGCGAAGTAGAAGTCATCATCATAAAGATCTAAACACCACTCCCAAACATTCCCAGACATGTCATACAAACTATATCCGTTTGCGGGATACTTACCAGCCGCCGTCGTATCTCCAACATTTCTGTCGTAGTTCGTTTTCGCAGCAGATAGCACATCTCCCCACGGATACTTTTTACCCGGTAGCCCGCCGCGCGCAGCGTATTCCCATTCTGCCTCCGTCGGCAAACGCTTTCCTACCCACATAGCATAGGCCATCGCACTATACCAACTCACCCAAGTAACAGGATGATTCGCCTGCCCTCCTGGATAGTTGTTACCATCCCAATTCAACAGGTAGTCGCCATCGTGAAACTGGTCCTCAATCCGATCTTTCTGCCAACTGGAATTTTCAATCAGGAACTGCTGATAGTCAAGATTCGTCACAGCATGCGTGTCCATATAGAACGCATCCACATGCCCCATATACACAAGCTGCTCGTAAAAAGACTCAGTATCGTTGCTTCCCATCTCAACCTTGCCAGCAGGTATCAGCACCATGTTTTCAGGTAGGGCGGGTGCTGTCTCCACATAAGGTTCATCTTTTTTAGATAAATACATGAAAAACAATCCTTCTATGCAATTTTTTGTTCCTTTAGAGAAAAAGCAAGTGGACGGGCTTTAGTAGCGTGCATGGTACCCTCGAACTGTTATGATAGAAAAAAATCGAAGTTTTGTCAACATTTTTAAACGAAAAATGGGTGAGGCCTTTATACATCTCACTCCTGCATGAATTTCAGAAACAATTTGACAAAAATTGACTTTTTTTCTACACTCTTAACAACGTAACTTATTTACTTTTTGATTGATACATTTTTCTAACTCAGTTACCAAAACGGAGGGTTCACCCTTAAATCGCATCCTGAACCTTCCTTAGCGGCTTACATCACAGGAATTAATATGCACCCACTTGTTGACTTGAAAGTGCCAGAGGGATCTGTCGCTGTTCATTGGTTTGAACAGAGCAGTTTTGCGCTGAAAGATTCTGATGGTACTATTGTCCAAATCGACCCTTATTTTCCACGTGAGCGTCCCGCGGATCGTTTTATCCACACCGAACCACCGCTTGACGAATCAGCACTTCCAACCGATTTCGTTCTCTTGACCCACGCGCACGGAGATCACACCTGTCCAGAATCCATACGCCGAATCTGGGAGATTTCCGATGCGACGCGGTTTGTTGGACCTGAGGAGAGCGCACGCCAAATCGCGGCAGAGACAGACGTTGCCGTAGGGAATATTACAGAAATTAATGCTGGAGAATCAGCGACACTAAACGGTCTCACCGTGCATGCCATCTATGCCAAACCACCTGAAGGCGATGCATCCGCTGACATAGCACCCCCTGATGTCACACACTTGGGATACGTAGTTGTCAGTAACGGTGTAACGCTCTATTTCAGCGGCGATCCGATCAATAATTTCGCAGAGCACGACGAACTGATTTCAGCAGTATCGGCATACAAACCGGACATCGGTTTCCTGACAAACCACCCAACCGAGGGCGAGTTTCCGTTCTACGATGGATGCGTCAAAATGGCAACACGGATCGGACTTAACACGCCGTCCCGGTGCATCGTGCCTGTTTCGTTACCCGCGATTACGACCCGAACGAGTGGTCAGCTCAGTTCTCAGCAGGTGGATCCGAACCGCTTATTATTGAGAGAAATTCACATATTATTTATCCATAGCAATCAGCAATTAGCAGTCAGCGATCAGCCGTCAGTCACAAGAGGAAACCTTTTTAAACGAAGACCTCTTAACTGATAGCCGATAGCCACTAAAAGAGGTACAGATACGTATATGCCCCTTCAAGATCAGAAAACTCCGCTTGTCGGTATAGTCATGGGAAGTGACTCCGACTTAGAAAAGATGGCAGAAGCCGCTAAAGTTTTAGAGGAATTTGAAGTTCCATTCGAGATAACGATCTCCTCTGCGCACCGTTCGCCGGAACGGACGCTCGCGTGGACAGAAAAAATTAAAGCAGAAGGTGGAAAGGTCATCATCGCCGGTGCTGGACGCGCAGCGCATCTCGCTGGGGTCATCGCAGCACATACGACACTACCGGTCATCGGTGTCCCGATTGATGGCGGACCGCTCAACGGCGTTGACGCACTATATGCAACAGTTCAAATGCCCCCAGGCATCCCTGTTGGAACGATGGCAATCGGATCTGGTGGTGCCCGGAACGCTGGACTATTCGCTGTCCAAATTTTGGCGACCCAATCCCCTGAACTGGAAGAAAAACTGTTAGCCTACAAAACAAAATTGAGTGATGGTGTTGCGGAGAAAGCAGCGCGTCTCCAAGAAGTTGGCTACCAGAATTATTAGATTAAAGTTAACAGTTTTAACCATCAACTCGCCTCCGTTATAAATGTTAAAGCACGAGTTGATGGTTAAAGTCGTCGGTTATCAGTTAAAGAGGCACTTTTGTAACAATCTTTCCAACACTTGGGATATTCCAGAGAGCAGGCAACTTTTACGGGGAAACCTCTTCACTGGAGACTGAAAGGGTTTCGGAGAAACCCGTACTGATAACTGACGACTATTCCAGAGGAATAATTAAAAAATGGAAACCTTAGAATGGCAGAACGATACAGAACTGTTCAATATGATGGAAAAACGGTTATACGCCGCTGTGATTTCCGATGCCCTTGACGCAGTTGGTTACCGCGAACAGGCACTACGGCATACTATCCGCCCGCTTCATCCAGAGACAGTTGTAGTAGGTCGCGCAATGCCTGTATTGTGTGTAGATGTCTATGAGATTCCAGATGAACCGTATCAGCAGGAAATTACGGCGGTGGATAGCCTCAAACAGGACGATGTGTTCGTCTGCTCTACGAACCAGAGTACCCGTAACTGTATTTGGGGAGAACTCCTCTCAACGGCGGCACGTGCAAGAGGCGCGAGAGGTGCCATCGTTGACGGGTTTATCCGAGATGCTCGCCAGATCTTAGCAATGGGGTTTCCCGTGTTTACAACAGGATTGTCGCCTGTTGACTCCAGTGGGCGCGGCGATGTAGTAGCGTATAACGTTCCGATTGAATGCGGTGGTGTTATGGTTAATCCTGGCGATATCGTGTTCGGTGATGCCGATGGGGTTGTTGTTATCCCGCAAGCAGTTGAAAAAGATGTGATTGCAGCTGCGTTTGCAAAGGTAGCGGGTGAAGATCGAACTCGTGATGAACTCCGTGCTGGCGCGACGCTGCGCGAGGTCTATGATAAATACGGGATTCTGTGATAAATAGATTAGACTGAGGCACTGGGACCTCATCCAAGAAGGAAAATTGAAAGAGGAAGTTTGAATTCTTTAGAAAAAGCGCGTAAAGCCCAACCAACGGGCCGGGCTGGATATACGGAGAGGGACGTTCTTCGCAAAACCCGCCTGAACGAACCGCAAGGAAAATTAAAAAAATGATTTATGAATTGCGCACCTATCAGGTGGTACCGGGGAAGATGAAAAACCTGAACGACCGGTTTGCAAACATCACCGTTCCACTGTTCGAGAAGCACGGAATGAAGGTTATCGGGTTTTGGGAAACAGCTATTGGAGAGGCAACGACAACGGAGCTTGTCTATATGCTCGCCTTTGAAGATTTGGGGCACTACCAGCGTGCGTGGGATGCATTCATTGCTGATCCGGCGTGGCAAGAGGCGAAACGCCTAACAGAAGTGGGCGGTCCGTTGGTAAATGTGGCGGGTTCCAAGATCCTTGAATCGACAGATTATTCGCCATTGCAGTAGATACAGGATTCAAACGCACTCAGCGCAGAATGGCGAGTTTTCCGATCTGTTCGACTCGGCTTCCATCTTCTGTGCGGGCGATGACGCGATACAGATACACACCATTGGCACATCGCATTCCTGTCTCATCTCTCCCATCCCAACGGGTCTCATTGGTGCCTCGCTTTGCGCTGGCATCGACAAGCGTACGGAGAAGTCTACCGTTGACGCTGTAAATTTTGATTGTAACGGTATCAGGTGCCTGTGCGAGGTGATAGGTGAAAAAGGTCTTCCCATCAACCGTGGGATTCGGAACGTTGAAAACCTCGCTGAGCGTGACTTCCTCATTTAAGGTGAAGGTAGTAACAAGTTCTGCCGTGTTTTCACTGGTATCCGCAGCGATAATATGGAGTTGATACTCACCATTAGGAAGATTTGGGGCATAAGTGATATCGGCATTTGCGGGAGCAGCAGGATCGAAGGTTTCAGCGTAATCGCTCGCGTCCAGCGGTTCAAGCGTCTCATATACACTACCGAAATTGAGAAGAAAAGCGCTTTCATCAAGCGCGCTATCATCGGTAAGGGTTATCTTGAAGCGAGATTGCTCCGTAAGTACTGTCCCATCTATCAAAGGTTCATCAAGGGGTTCGCGCGCCGAACCCGTACCCGGAGTCGTAACCCGGATGTCAATAGTAGGTGGAACGAGATCTGGGGTTTCAGTGACAAAAAACCTGTAGACGACAACCCCCTCGTCGCCACCGATGGCGTTTCCATTGAAATCCTGTGCTGTGATATTGAAGATGTACTCGCCGGGAAAGAGGATCGGTTGGTAATCAATCGGCACCGTCTGATAGCCACCCTGCGTGCGGAGTTCATAGTCAGTAATCAGCTCAAGCGGACCGCCGTCCTTTTGTCTTGCGATTGTGAGGAACTCAGTATCAATACCATTTGTATCTTGTAACACAATAGAGATCTTCGGACGTGGCGGAATCACACTGCCGGTTTGCGGTTGGATACCATCCACCCATATACTGAAGTCAGGCGGCTCGGTATCGCTACTCCGCATAAGCGCAAACTGTGTGAGTTCGCTGACCTCTGCCACTATAGCCCCGACCCGTGCGGTGCTAAATTTCACCTTATCACCGAAATTAAAGTCCTCAGAACTTGCGGTGACGATAATATCCAATCCAAGATGGCTAAGGTAAAGCGGTTCATTCACCTTACCTTGGACTTTGACACCATTTGGAAAATGGACTGGCTCGCCGGAGGCATCGCGAAGTTCGTAACGGACAGGATCGGTAAAAAAGATAAACCAATCGCCGATCTCAAATTCTCCCTTGGGTCCAGGTCGACTGTTTACCGTGGCGTTACCATTGCCGAGATTGGCATTCCACGTGCGGTGAGAATAACATCGCCTTCGGGGTCATAGTCGGTTTCAAAAGCGAGAATATCAGCAAATTCAAAGGTGTAGTTGACCCCAATCGGTGTGCTTTCTTTCCTCGGAATCCGTAATGCCAAGCCGAACCCTGACTCCCTGAACGGATTGTCCAATTGCCCAGACTTATCAAGTTTCTGGATGATTGATTCTCCCTTGCGTTTGAGAAACACTTCGTATTCATCAGCATCTAAAAATAGTAGGACCCAGGTGCCAGCGGGGGTAAGATTTGGGTTGATGGTGATGGCGGCAGCTTCCAATTCCTGTTCGCTTGCATTCTCCATTTGCGTCGGAGTGACGTAGTTTTCGAGCAGAAAGTCGTCGCCTTCAGAGGTGTAATTAATCTGCGATGACAAGCGTCGCCACGCTGAAAAATCTGCTTGCCATGCGTAGATTGCCAACTGATTAGCGATTTCCGTTAATGCAGTTTTAAATGCAGGGTTGTTGGGCTGGAGCAACGTCTCTTCCCGCACGGTATCCCCCAAAGCACTCACATCAAAACGGAGTTTGAGCTCAGCAGGTTTCTTGAGCGTCGTTACACCTGTGCGAAAAGCAGGTTCATAATATTGCGCAACCTCTGTTCCCTGCCGAATGAGCCCGCGTCGAAGCGCAGCGACGCGAGGAATAGGTGCGAACTGGAGATCCGGCTGGGCAGGGTCGGTAGGCAACTGTGAAGAAACAGAGAGTGGTATACCTGCCTTATTCTGTGGTTCAGCGTCGAGCGCGTTCGCAGGAAAATGGATGTCAAACACCCTATCCAAACTGAACGCTGTCAACTCCCCTTGCGGTTTATAGTTAAACTCATTGACGATAAAAGAGACATGTTGTTTGTTATCAAACTGGCGTGATTCTTGGATGTTTCCGGTAATTTCGTCCTCAATCCCCGGATCATCCGGATCCGCGAGGACATAGATTTTGTGTACGCCTGTTACAAGGGGTTTGTCAAGATCTAACGTCGCAGTCACGCGTTGCAACGCGTATGTCCCATCCACCCAATCGGTAGGTTTAATAGTCACGCTCCCTATAATTTCGGCATCTTCGTCAATTACACTATCTCCCTCCACATCCGGATTTCCCTCAGCAAATACCACCTCAATATCGAATCGAACGGGACGTCCACCTATGTTAACGATTTCTCCGATGAGTTGATAGCCCTTCTTTTCCTCATCAAATGCATATCGAATAGGTGCCCTGTCGGCTTCGTCCGTGCCGATTGCAATGTTGGGACCCTCAGGCACTCTGACGATGTTGCGTTCTGTCTTTGACGGAATAGCGAATTCCTGTCCCGTGCTATCAGTAATGAGGAGTCGATAGCGGACCTGCCGTCCACCCTGTGGCAGTGGAATATTTCTTTCGAGTTCATACCATTGTCCGCCCAGAGGCACATCACCGAGAGGCACTCGGGCAGGGATCATCTGTACTATCTCGTCTTTGAAGGTAGCAGTATCATCCCATAACACCTTTATACTTCGTATACCAGCGGGTCCTTTATCATCAACAACAAGCACACTGATACTGAGTGTATCTGTGACTTTAATGTCGAGGGTTTCTCGGATGTCGTGTACGACAGGCGTGTCAATCCAAAACCGCGTTCCACCGATAGCAGCGCGGGTGTCATCATAAGCGAAGACCCTTGCAACACCACCACCCGGTAGTGCGCTATTTGGAACATCAATACGAATCGTTCCATATTCCCCCTTCCAGACTCTGCCACCGGTACGCTGCACGAGGTCATTATTAACATTATCGTCAAAATGATTTGCGAAGGTTGCGAAAGCGGAGAGTGACTCCGTACTAAAATCGGATGCGATTGTGAAGTTCACACCCACTGGCTCGCGCCCTGGCACCCCAATCTTCGGACCTTCAGTTGTTCCTACCTCGTTCGCTTTGATGACAATATCGTGTGCCTTGTTGAGCGCGATACGCTCTAACTCGACCTTTATGTCAAGTTCGGGACGAGCAAGGTGAGATGCGGGGTCTCCGAAGAGTGTATATTGTTCCGCGCCAGGGATCCACTGCGTATTCCGAATGCGACTGATAAAACTAATTTTGGCATCGGCAACAATATGTCCCACCGTTGATGGAAGTCCATCCTCACCGTTAATAACAAGCTTAGGTTCGCGACCCACTCCGAAAAGGGATTCAAACAGGTCTTTGTCGAATTCGGCATTTGCTGTGCCGTAGGTTAACCGTGTCGCCGAGAGTGCCGCAATCGCACCATATTTTCCCAAAAGAAATTGCTCGCTCAGACAGAAGTTCCCAACTTGTTGCGGTTTGTCAAATTGTCCATTAAGACAGGTCGTTGTAATAACAAACGGAAGGTATCGGTTCCGCAAACCGACAACATCCTCACTATGAAAAATAGCCTCGTCTGCCCAAGTCTGTATTCCCCCATGTCCTGTATATTCAATGGCAAGCGCGCCTCTATTGATAGCCGCACGAATTTGAGCGCGTGTGCGTTCGGGACTTTTAATCTTTCGGAGATAGATTTGGCGAGTGTCATACCCGACGGGTATAACTTCCTGTATCAATTCATTACGCGATGCCTCAAAGACTCCATCGGATGGGTTGTCTGTGTGGTCATCTGCCACCTGAATCAATGTCCCTTGCCAGAGTCCCGTTTTAAGATTCTTCTCATAGTTGATGATCTTTTCAACCATCGTCACGAGCTCTTCAGGGGTCTGGACAGAGAGTCTCCCAATAAGCATGTCTGGAAGCGCATCCTCACCGCTGATGTTAACAAAGCGCTGGTCCATAGCGGTTTCCCCACTTGCGGGTGCCCATCCATGGTACGTAGGCACAAAGATCGGATAGAGGTTATAGGTGCCCCGAAAATTCGGATCGCGGCGATAAATCTCAACGGTCGTGTTTTTGTAATCATAGTGCGCATCTCCAACGAGGACGACATAAGTGGGAGCAGGCTGTTGCCAACTGTTATAGGCATACCGGAGGAACCGCTGGATGGCAAACGGGGTTAAAGAGACCATCGCTGAATTCATCGTAGATGTCGCCAATATCAACGACCATGGTCGTTAAACCCTGTGAACGCCGAAATTCGACAAGCGGCTGAATGTTTTCGGCGAAGTCCGGATGCGTAATGGCAACATAGTCTGCTTGGTTAGAAGGATTGCGCAGCGGCGTTGGAGGTGTTGGAACAAGCGCGTTGATGCTTCGATAGGCAGAACGGCTGATGACGAAATAGCGCGTATATTGGTTGACAGTATCCTCAAAGAGAATTTGGTGACTGGCACCAATGCGGGAGACTTTACCACCAGTGAGCCTACTGGTAATGCCATTCTCATCAATTTGATACACATCAATTGCATCGTGGAAGATGTTTCGGACGCTGTAGTGGACTTTGCCACGATTGCGAGGTTCAGTATTGGTATTGAACTCAAGACGGTTTGCCTCTGCACGAAAACTTCGCCAATAATCAAATTCATACCAATCGAGATAGAAGTCGTAGGAGCCAGCAGGCGTCTTGTTAGTATCCAACGCCTCAATGCGCATAAAATTCACCTGATTGTTATGGACGCGCGCCCATGGAATACTGCGGGTCGCGACCTGGGAACCTTGACGCTTCCACTCCGCAACCCTACCGAGTTGAAGTCCGTTGAAAGAGATTCGTGCTTGGTGAAGTGCGTTCCCTTTTCGGGAAGCACCTTGGAATTTGAGACGCAAGGTTGCCAAGCGGTCAATCGCAAGCCGCGGGACCGCCAAGGGCACCTCTATGCCTAAATCCTTTCGACTTGTGTCAATATTCCCACCGCGGAAGGCAGCCCAGAAATAGTGATCGGCAAGTTCAGACTTAATATCGGTTGCCAGCCAAGACATCATGATGTACATTCTCTTCAAATCGAACCCGTGCTAAAAAAGCGGTTGGTGTTACCAAGTTTTGTGCCAGCGGTGTCGCGTCTCGTTCCTCAACGCGCGACCCCTCAATGCCAGTATTCGGTTCTCCTTGTAAAGCGAAACGAAGCCAGTAAACGTTTTCGTCGGTAAATTTGTTGTCAGCCAACGCCCGCCCATAAAAGACCATCTGTTCGCCTGGGTCAAGTGTGTTGTTCCCGTTTTCATCAAAAACATAGATGCCCTGTTTTTGCCCACTACTTTCCAATCGAACGGTATCAAGGTCAATATCTTCTGGCTCGATGCCAGCAGCTTTAATGTGATTATAGGTAATGCGATAGAGATCCGTTCTGGTAACGGGAATTTTAAATCGGAGCGTACTGGAAAGTGTCAGGATGGGGGCTCCAGGAGCGCGGTTTCCGTAAGGCATCCGCCGCTGGCTGCGCCACGGTTTTGATTGCTCGTAATTTCGCAATGTTCCTTGAAACAGACTCTCAAAAGTGGGAGAGTTCTTTGAAAAAATAGAGGGAGCCGCAGAAACAGTTCCACCAGCAGAAGTTACCATACCCGGGTTCCCACCCGTTGCTGGGAAAGGAGGAAAATCAATACGGAACGTCACAGATTTGAAAATTCTCAACTGCTTTGTTGCCGGATTGTATTGTATCGGGTTGATTTGCAGACTCGCGATGCGCTGTTCCCGCACAAAACCCACTGGAATAGCCTCTACCAACTGCGTCGGATAAAATCCCTGAGAAACACGGGAGTTTTTGGTCAGCAACTCGCCACCGTTTGAAAAGGTTGTAGCCGAGTTGCTGGCCAAGTCAGAGCGGGGAAAATTGGATCGTCTGGCGTAATACGAATATTTTCAACGCTTCTTATCTCTGGACGTGCCTGAATGACGGTGACAATCGGCGTTCCTACGATAGGAATACCGATGCGTTGTGTGTAGATAGGCAGACGCGGTTTGCCCACGTCAAGCGTCCAATCTGCTCCTGCAAAATAGATTTCGGAGGAATGGCTGTCGGTTGTCGGCTCAGACTCTCCCACGCGCGCCGAACGCTTTGTATCAGTAGGCGTGGGCGAGTCTGGGCTTTCAGGAAAGATATTCCCTTTCTGACCGCTGACTGCTGATGACTGATGGCTATTCCTTACCTGGATTTCGGGTAGTGTGAAGCGGGCTGTGAGTGTGTCCGCCGTGGTTGCAAGAATCTGTAGAGGGTTTTTGCTTGGGTGTTTCCCCAATGCTGGTAGTGTCTGGGCTACGGAAACCAATGTTGGAACAGTGAAGAATATAAGAAATATAGCTAAAAAAATGCAAATCTTTCTCATGGCGTTATGGCTTTGTCCTAAATATATCCGTTTTGTCAGTGTTCCTACAACGGATTCTCTCGCTGCGAGGCATTTGTGAGTCGCACGGCACAACTTAGTGCCTCCACCAAACTCATTTCGTTAGCGATACCTTTGCCAGCTATGTCAAACGCAGTACCGTGGTCCACACTCGTTCGGACTATCGGTAAGCCTAAGGTAACATTCACAAGTTCACCAAATCCGAGGAGTTTTATCGGAATATTGCCCTGGTCATGATACATAACGATAACGGCGTGCCATTCACCTTGAATCGCTTTGACAAAAAGTGCATCGGCAGGAAGCGGTCCGTCAATCGTACCGAAGTGTGCTTCTGCCTGCGCGATGGCTGGACGGATAAGGTATTCCTCCTCTTTTCCGAACGCTCCGTCCTCACCCGCGTGAGGGTTTAACCCCGCAACGACAAGCCTCGGTTCGGAGATACCACAACGGATCAGTGCCTGTCGAGTGATACGGATAACCTCAACAATTCTTTCGACAGAGAGATGTTTCGACACATCAGCTAACGCGACGTGATTCGTAACGAAAGAAACCGCGGGAATCACTCTCGGCTCTCGGAAACCCTCAGCAAAGAGGTTTTCTTTGATTGCTGACGGCTGATTGCCATCCAATGCTTCAGGTGTACAGAGCATCATTACCGCGTGCGCAGTGTTCGTAAAGGCGGCAAGCATTTCCGTGTGTCCTGGATAGGAAACTCCTGCGCGGTGTATAGCGGCTTTGCAGATCGGGGCAGTTGTGATGGCATCCAGTTCGCCATGCATCGTAAGATGTGTCCCTATCTCAATCGCTTTTACAGCAGCAGCACCCGCGCGTGCATCTATAGTACCAACAGAAATATCCTGAGGGGATATTGAAGACACATCAAGTACATCAATTGTCCCGTGTCTTGCAAGTGCCTGCGTCGGTGTTTTGATTATATTAAGTTTCAGTGGTGGTTTGTTGGAAGTTGTAAAGCGGAAACACGCGTCCTGAAGAATAGCAGAACTGCCGATAACAATCGGCTGGCATAACGAATACACACTTTCATGGGCGAGTGCCTTGACAAGGATTTCGGGACCGATACCGGCTGCATCACCCATTGTGAGTCCAATCTTCGGTCTATTCTCTGTGCGCGGCGTACCCGTTCCCCTCCCCAGTAACGGGTGGGGGTCCGAGTGCGTAGTGGCTTCGGATTGGATCTGTACCTCTGGGCGAGTCATTGCAGTTTTCTCCCTTAATCGAGGCTAATGTGCCTCGATCAGGAGATAGAGGCTACGAGTTTAGTTGACGATAGAGCATAGCAGCATGGGCGCGTGAGACATTACCAGAGGGCAATTCAAGAACCTCATATTCAGGCGCAGGAACTTCCTCAACACCTGACGGGTGAGGCAAGCGGATAACATCACCAACAGCGAGCATTCTTCCAGCCTTCGCGACGTGTCCGTTGACGCTGATCGCACCTCTGCTACAGAGAGTATTGGCTATTGTTCGCCGTTTCACGAGACGACTGACCTGCAGGAATTTATCTAATCGCATCTTTTTTACGATTCGCAAAGCGTTAACTCAAACAATTGGTTTAATAACGATCTTCGCTTAAGAATCGCCTGCGCTGTTGTTGCAGACTGCTATCATTTTCTAAAAGATTTCTCTATAGACATTGTACGACTTACAGGGTGCTTTAACACTATCCCTAACGAAAACAAACATAAAACTACACTGGTGGTTGGGAGGCGACCGGCACTTCTACGGGAACTTCGGGTTCCATGATCGGATCCGTTAGTGCCTGTTCCAGCACCTGTGTCATATCGCTGACTTTGTGAAAACGGAGACCTTCCCGAATTTCGGCTGGAATGTCAGCCTCATCCTTCTCGTTGTCCTCAGGAATAATAATTTCAAAGATACCGTTCCGATAGGCAGCGAGAACCTTTTCTTTTAAGCCACCAATCGGCAGGACCCTCCCACGGAGTGTAATCTCCCCTGTCATCGCGACATCTTTGCGAACAGACTTCCCAGTTAGCGCAGAAAGAATCGCCGTGGCGACGGTAATGCCAGCAGACGGACCATCCTTCGGCACTGCGCCTTCAGGAATGTGAATATGGATGTCCTGCTGTTCAAACCGATTGTCGGAGAGTCCAAAAGATTCCGCGCGGGAGCGGATATAGCCGACAGCAGTCTGGACAGACTCACGCATCACTTCCTGAAGTTGCCCTGTCATATTTAGTTTGCCTTCCCCGTGCATCTTTGTTGCCTCAACAGAAACAATATCACCGCCAATTTGGGTCCATACCAACCCTGTGGCGACCCCGACTTCATCGTGTTCTTCGGCTTTCGTACGCGTCCACTTCGCGGGTCCGAGATAATCGCTTAAATTCTCAGGTGTCACTTCAACTTTGAGATCCGGTGTCTCTTCGGTGACGATCTCCCTCGCGACCTTTCGCATGACGTTAGTAAGTGAGCGTTCAAGGTTTCGCACCCCAGCCTCACGCGTGTACTTGTGAATCATCTCAAAGATGGCGTCGTCTGTGAAGGCGACATTGTCAGCTGAAAGCCCATGGCGTTCGAGTTGCTTGGGGATAAGCCCATTCGGTATAAAAGTAGCAATGTTATGCTTCTCAAAATCCGTATAACCCGGCAATTCAATGATTTCCATCCGGTCCTGGAGTGCAGGCGGTATGGTAACACGAGTGTTGGCAGTCGTAATAAACATAACATCGGAGAGGTCGAATGCGATATCCATGTAATGATCCCGGAAAGTAGAGTTCTGTTCCGGATCGAGCACTTCAAGGAGGGCAGACGCCGGATCTCCTCGGAAATCCGAACTGAGTTTATCAATCTCGTCAAGCAAGAACAGTGGATTTTTCGACTTGACATCGCGGAGCCCTTGAATGATACGTCCAGGGATTGCACCGATATAGGTGCGTCTGTGTCCACGGATCTCTGCTTCGTCTCGAACACCACCGAGCGACATTCTAACAAACTTCCTACCTGTGGCGCGGGCAATCGATTTGCCGAGTGAAGTTTTTCCAACGCCTGGAGGACCAACAAGACAGATAATAGGTCCTTTGAGGTGTTTGACGAGTTGTAAAACAGCAAGGTATTCCAACACGTTTTCTTTCGGTTTCTCTAACCCGTAGTGGTCCTCGTCGAGTATCCGCTGCGCTTCAGAGAGCCCAAGTTGATGCTCAGTTTCCTCTTTCCACGGCAGCGCGAGTATCCAATCAACATAGGTGCGGATAACACCAGATTCGGCAGATTGCGAGGGTATCTGTGCAAGCCGATCAAGCTCTTTGAGAGCCTTTTCTTCGGCTTCTTCAGACATTCCGGCGTTTTTCACCTGTTCTCGCAGCTCATCAACTTCGGCGATGTCATCTCTGCCCAACTCTTTCTGGATAACCTTCATCTGTTCCTGAAGGTAGAATTCGCGATGCGTCTTCTGGACGGATTCGCGAACCTGATTATGAATGTCATCACGAAGTTCATTACGTTCCAGTGCCTGATGCAAAAACTGGATGATGAGTTGTAAACGCTTAATGGGATTAAGTTCGTCGATGACAGATTGGCGTTCCGATGGAGCGAGATTGAGAATTCCAGCGATAGTATCTGCAAGATGCCCAGGTTCTTCTTGCTCCTTAATAGAGCGTTTGACTTCGTCAGAGGTCAAACCTTGAGGTTGTGAACTCCTCCCCTGTTCCTGCTGCCGCGTCTTTGCGTACTCATTGAAAAGCTTTCTGGCTTCCTTCATGAGAGACTCGGAAGTGCTCGCTAAGCCTATCTCCTCGTGGGCGATTTGCACGTCTGCACTCAAAAAGTCATCAGTCTCTGTAAAACGGAGGACTATTGCGCGATGCTCTGAGGCAATAGCGATACGGATAGTGCCGTCGCCGGGTTCATAAGATTCGATGATATTTGCGACAGCACCAACGACATGGAGATGTTCCGGAGCTACCTCCTCTCCTTCTTCCAACTCCACATTTTGGTAGAGGAGGAGTATATGCCTATTTGAGCGGAGTGCGGCATGGGTCGCTTGGACTCCCATTTGGCGGGCAACATTTAAAAGAGATTTCGTCCTCGGAAAAATCAAAATCGCATCGAAATCCGGGGGCAAATAGATAACGGGTAAACTTACCGTTTCGTGTTCTTGCGTTGCTGTCGAATTCATATCTTCTTCCTGGTGCTGGTCGTTAAATCCCAGCATTTTTTAGACATCAGTGCCGTGGTAGGATTCACTTTCTATCTCAATAGGGTGCAACTGCTCCCTACTGGAGAGGCACCTTGTTCACGGCTCCTTCTGTCTTGGAATGAAATGCTATTAGTTTTGCCAAATTGGCAAATGACTTGCACGCCAAACTGCGCCTAAGCAGTTTTAAGTACTATGAACGATTTGCACGTCTGCACCCAAAAAGTCATCAGTCTCTGTAAAACGAAGAACAATTGCGCGATGCTCTGAGGCAATAGCAATACGGATAGTGCCGTCGTCGGGTTCATAAGATTCGGTAATATTTGCGACAGTACCAACGGTGTGGAGATGTTCCGGAGTTGCCTCTTCTCCTTCTTCCAACTCCACGTTTTGGTGAAGTAGAAATATCCGTCTATTTGAGCGGAGTGCGGCATGGGTCGCCTGGACTCCCATTTTGCGGGCGACATTTAAAACAGATTTCGTCCTCGGAGAAACTGCTTCAAAATCCGGGGGCAAACAGATAACGGGTAAACTTACCGTTTCGTGTTCTTGCGTTGCTGTCGAATTCATATCTTTTCCTGGTGCTGGTCGTTAAATCCCAGCATTTTTTAGACGTCAGTGCCGTGGTAAGATTCACTTTCTATAAATGGCTTGTATGCCGAACTGCGCCTAAGCAGTTTTAAGTGCTTCGGATTTCCTATAAACGAGTTGCGGAGGTTCATTCTTACGCACGGTGTCTTCGGTAACATGGCACGCTTCAACATCGTCAAGCGAAGGAAGACGATAAAGCGTATCAAGCATAATTCTTTCAAGAACAGCCCTTAACCCACGCGCCCCGGTTTCACGTTCAATCACCTCATCAGCAATGGCGGTTAACGCCTCATCAGTCACATGGAATTGCACACCTTCATAAGCCAAAAGATACTGATATTGTTTCACCAAAGCATTCTTAGGTTCAGTGAGAATGCTAACGAGAGCTGGCGCATCCAACTCATGAAGGGTTGTGACAACGGGAAGTCGCCCTATCAGTTCCGGTATAAAACCGTATTTAATAATATCTTTCGGTGTTACCTGTGCGAGGATTTCATGAATCTTTGTTTTGTTTTTGGATTGGATAGGCGAACCGAAGCCAATACTCTGCTTTCCAAGCCTGTCTTTAATTGCATTTTCTAACCCGATAAAGGTTCCACCACAAATGAACAACACTTTTTTGGTATTCACCTCAATCATCTCTTGATGTGGGTGCTTTCTGCCGCCGCGCGGTGGAACATTTGCTGTTGTTCCTTCAAGGATCTTAAGCAATGCCTGCTGAACACCTTCACCGGAGACATCACGGGTAATTGACGGGTTTTCAGATTTTCGTGTAATCTTATCAATTTCATCAATATAAATAATGCCTGTTTCGGCACGTGCGACATCACCATCTGCGGCTTGGACCAGCTTCAAGATGATATTTTCGACATCTTCACCCACGTAGCCAGCTTCAGTCAACGTTGTTGCATCGGTAATAGCGAATGGCACGTCTAACACTTTAGCAAGGGTTTGCGCGAGGAGCGTTTTCCCCGTGCCTGTTGGACCAACAAGTAAAATGTTGCTCTTGTCTAATTCAATCTCATCCGTCGTGTTTCCATGATGTAAGCGTTTGTAATGCGTGTAAACGGCAACAGATAACGTCTTTTTGGCATCTTCCTGACCAACTACATATTCATCAAGTTTTGCTTTAATTTCTTCGGGTGAAGGCGGTGCTTCAAGTGCGTCTTGTTCATTTTCTGTTTGTGGATGTGTTGCGCTCACAAATTCGGTTTCTATTTGTTCATGGACGTTGCTTCCGCGAGTCCGTGAGGATCTACGCTGAGGACGATCACCAGATCCTTCCTGTTCGCTCGAATCACTACTTTTAAAATCCTCCATAGAAAAGTCAAGGCTACCATCCGGTTCACGAGTGAGAATGTCATTACAAACAACAATACACTCAGCAAGACACTTCTCACAGATATTTGCGTCAAGTCCATTAAAAAGCCTTTCGACTTGGTTGTTATCGCGTCTACAAAATGAGCAGGCGGCACTCTCTACAATGGACGCTGACAACCGGACAATACATTCAACGCAAATATTTGCTTCTCTGCCTTGAAGAAGTCGTCGGACTTGTGTACTGTCCTGTTGACAGAATGAACAGAACAAGTCACGATGGATGGATTCGGACATAGAGGTTTTCTCCTTTATTTATCCATGTCTAATATGGCTGTCAGCCGTCAGTTGTCAGCAAAGAAGGTTTTCTAATAACCGTCAGTTTCCTGTTTGATTTGAGAGTTTCAGAAAACCGCAGGGCACCCGCTGATAGCCGATGGCTGATTGCTATTCTTCACGAATTAATCCTGCTGTGTTGTCCCGTTGGGAGACGACCTGATCGACGATACCGTATTCAAGTGCCTGTTCGGCAGTCATGTAATAGTCACGGTCAGAATCAGTAGTGATCTTCTCAATATTTTGGCCCGTATGCTCTGCTAAAATAGAATAAAGTCGGTCGCGTTCCTTCAGAATTTCTTTTGCATGAATGCTAATATCAGAAGCTTGACCGCCAATGCCGCTCGCCATCGGTTGGTGAATGAGTGCTTTTGCATGTGGGAGCGCGTAGCGCTTCCCGGGTGCTCCGGCGGCAAGAAGAACAGCTCCCATACTATAAGCTCTACCTAAACACCATGTCTGCACATCGGCTTTGATATACTGCATCGTGTCGTAGATTGCCAAACCGGCGGAAACGGAACCGCCAGGTGTGTTAATATAGAGCACTATGTCTGCATCCGGGTCTTTTCCCTCAAGGAAAAGCATCTGTGCTGTTACAATGTTTGCGATGACATCATCATCAATCGGTGTGCCGACCATGATAATTCGATCTTCAAGTAGACGAGAATAGATATCGTATGAGCGTTCGCCGCGGCTGGTTTGTTCAACGACGATAGGTACAAGGTTCATATTTTAATGGCTTGCTTCGCAGTGAGAACTTTAACCATCAACTCGTGCTTTAACATTTATAACGGAGTCGAGTTGATGGTTAAGGCTTTCAGCAGGAATGACTTGCTTCGCAGTGAGAACTATTTTGCTGACTGCCGACGGCTATTCTTCAGGTAATTATGAGCGATTGCTTGGCGGATGCACGGTGAATCAGGAACTGATAAATTTTTTCGTGTTGTAACTGTCCCCGGAAATCCTCTAATCGATTGTTTGACTTTAGCAGAGAAGCATATTTTTGAGCGTCTCGGTTTTGTTGCTCGGCAGCGCGTCGAATCTCGTGTTCCAATTCATCGTCGGATACGGAAATGCCTTCCTTCTCAGCAATAGTCTCGAAAATCCATGACTGTTTTGTTTGTTGAATGACATCCCGACGTAGTTCATCGGGCAGGGTATCCATGTTAATCCCAGCATCTTCAGGATTTCTATGCTCATTTGTCAGTTGCTGTTTGACGTTCTGAAGTGTCTGTTGTACATACTGATCAATTAAGGGATCTGGGATGGTAATCTCGGTTTTCTCGATGAGTTGCTCCAGCAATTCTGCTTTCTGTTTATCAACGTGTAGACTCGTCTCTTCCTCAACAAGATTGTTCCATATCAACCCATAAAGTTGAGAGTAGTTCTCGTACCCGAGGTCTTTGGCAAACTCGTCATCTAAGGATGGAAGATGTTTTTGCGTGATAGCGTGCAGCGTTATTTCGTATTGAGCGGATTTGCCTGCAAGCTCAGCAACACTGTGTTCTTGTGGAAATTCAATATCCACGTTATTTGTATTCCCAATCCCCATTCCAAGTAACGCCTGCTCAAGTTTTTCGTGTATAGCCCCAACGCCGAGTTCTATATCAACATCTTGCCGCGATTCAGCATCAACTCGATTTCCGTCGAGTAAGCATTCCCAATCTATTCGAACACAGTCTTTCTCTTGGACCGGACGTTCAACATCAAGCGGTTCATAAGTTGCGGATTGCGCTTGTAGCCGTGTAATATAGACATCAACATCTTCACGTGGCACGTTAACAGGGTTTTTATCGGTTACGAGTTCATCATAACTCGGGAGGCTAATACTGGGTCGAATGTCTACAGTGGCTGAGAACGTGAAAGATTCGTTTTCCTTGACTTGCAATTCATCAAGTGGCGGTGTGAAAATGGGTTGTGTAAGTGGGTTGAGCTGCTCGTTATAGATTGCATCTTCGTAGGCAGGAGCGACAAGATACCGAACAGCTTCGCTGCTGACATACTCAGGGAATCGCGATTTGAGGATTGCTACAGGGACACGACCTTTCCGGAAACCGGGAATAGAGACTTGGGTACGTAACGACTCACAAGTTTCCACCAGTGCTGCATTGACATCTTCAGATGGAATCTCTATGTCCAAACGGACTCTCGTGGTGTCTAACCTTTCAATTTGAACTTTCAAGTTTTCTATCCTCACGCCAGGCGTTCAAAGCCCGAATACTTTAAATCAGAACTCACTCTTATGTTGCCTTGCAGAGAGAGTTTTCCAAGATGTCAAGTAAAAATGCTTTTTCAATCTGGGGAAACTTACGAGAGTCGCGCCATGCTCCAACTTTTTGCAAGCTGTCCAACCCTACCACTATCGCCACCCTCAAATACGATGATGGGCGAGGAGGGACTTGAACCCTCACGAGGCGTAACCCCAATAGATCCTAAGTCTATCCTGTCTACCAATTCCAGCACCCGCCCAAACCCGCTTGATGACACTAAAGATGCGCCGTGAAGGAATTGAACCTTCAACCGTCTGATTAAGAGTCAGATGCTCTGCCAATTGAGCTAACGGCGCGCCTGCTGACTTTACTCTATTACCATAGACGCGTTTTGTTAAGTGCCACTCGCTAATTGTTAGGTGCGCTTTCAAAGCGGACACCCAGCATCTAAAAAATATCCGCGCCCGGAGGGATTCGAACCCCCAACTTATAGTTCCGAAGACTATTGCTCTATCCATTGAACTACGGACGCATATTAAAGGTGGATGATGGGATTTGAACCCACGCCCACTTGATCCACAGTCAAGTGCTCTACCCCTGAGCTACATCCACCATGCTTCGATTCTTCATCGAGCAGTCTGAAAAGCACGCCTAGCAGGAATCGAACCTGCAACCTACGGATTAGAAGTCCGTTGCTCTATCCAATTGAGCTATAGGCGCTCGCGCACAAATTCGCTCGTTTCTGAATCGGGGCGAGAGGATTCGAACCTCCGACCTTCTGCTCCCAAAGCAGACGCGCTAACCGGGCTGCGCTACGCCCCGGAATTCCTTATAATACAAACTTGCCAACAACAAATATGCTGTTAGCAACTACGAGGGCAATATGTGCTTGCAAACAACACCTATATTTCTTCATAGGTGTTATCTAAATTATACACCATCCTCTCGCACTTGTCAAATTAAATATGAAAAACTCTTGTCTTTTTTAACAACCCACCTTGCCATAAGCATGTAGCATTTTTCCTTTGTCTATACGAAAATTAACCCTATTCTCAAAAACTAAATCGTTATATCACGCTGAATTACAATTTAAAATCTTTTTTCATGAAACTTGTGTAAACCTATTTACGATAATTATGTCAAACACTCCGAATAAACACTTTTTGTGACAACAAACACAGAAAAAAGTTCAGGAGGAAATATGCGTTTAATTGAAGGGATATCCATTGGCATCTCCGCGATTCGCTCGAATAAGATGCGTTCATTGCTGACGATGCTCGGTATTATCATCGGTATTGCATCCGTACTGGCAATGATAGCTATCGGTGATGGTGCCAAGGAGATTGTGATACAAGATGCCCAGAAAATGGGTGGTGCAACCCGAATTACGCTATACCAAACCTCATACAAACGAGAAAATAATAGGTGGGTCCGCATCCGTAGCAACGAATACATGAAATATGAAGATGTATTGGCTATTGAAGCAGAATGCCCATCTGTGAGTGCAGTCACACCGAGAATCGCGGATTGGCGAGGCATCCTGTTTCAGGGTCCGGACGGTACTGAAACCCGTGCCGGCTATAACGGTGTAGACGCTAATTATACAACCGCAATGGATTGGGACATTAAAGAGGGACGCTTCATTACAGACGAAGATGTCCAAAACGCAACAAAAATCTGTGTCCTTGGAGATGAAATGGCGACCGAGTTGTTCGGCGATAAATCCCCTTTAGGCCAAGAAATCAAAGCCGTAAAAAGGATTAGTTACCGCGATCAATGGGGAAGAAGAACGAGAAGGCGATCCACCGAACGTTTCACGGTTGTCGGCACGCTCGTTCCGAGAGGGACAAGTTTCCAGTTTGGATGGAGTTACGACAACCTTGCCTTCATCCCTGTATCAACTGTACAAGAGCGTTTCACCGGGAACGATCAGGTTCGGAATATTATGGTTTTTGCAAATACCGTTGACGCTGTCCCGCAAGCGATTGAAGAGGTGAAAACAGTCATCAGAAAGCGGCACAAAAACCAAGATGACTTCGTCCGAATTCGGGCGATGCGTGCTGGTATGGCGCAGTTACAGAAAATCAGCAAGATGATTAAAATCGCTCTGGGCAGCATCGCTGGGTTCTCACTTCTCGTCGGCGGTATCGGCATTATGAATATGATGTTAGTCGCCGTTACTGAGCGAACCCGTGAAATCGGGCTTCGAAAGGCACTCGGTGCCAAACCCCTGGATATCTTAGCTCAGTTTCTAATAGAGGCGGTTATAATGTGTGCTGTAGGCGGCGCAATCGGTATCGGCTTGGGCATCTTTGTTGGCGAAGGTATGGCAATGCTCGCTGTTAAAATTGCCAAAATTGTTCCCGAATGGCCCTCGGTTATCTCTATGCAGTGGGTCATGATTTCGGTGTCATTCTCCGCGTCGATTGGTATATTCTTTGGCATGTATCCTGCAATCAAAGCCTCCAGCCTCGCACCGGTCGAAGCACTACGTAAAGATTAAAACACGGTTACCCAGTTAATACCTGCCCCTCGTCGACGCGCTTTCTAAGCGCGTCTTTTCTTTCTTTCACCCAACCTACGCTTATCGGATTTCCGGCTTCGGGTGCGGTCGCAGACTGCACTAACCTATTTAAGGGAAGTCGGCGAGGTGAAAACCCCTCCTAAAGAAATATGTGATGTGCCTCTATGCATGTCTCTTATCAAGATGGCAATCAAATAATTTCTTTAATCCTTTCATATCTGTTCTCGTAGGCGGGTTTGGAAAGCTCCTTTGCCCATCGAATCTGAAATTCTATTCACCAACCCCAAAATTCACAACCAACAATAAACCTATTTCACTTAATTGCGTCTAAATCTAACAGAATAGTTAACCTTATAAACGCTATAAGCACCGCGATGTGGAAATCATCTCTATAAAAAAAGAATTGCTACGAAAAAAATCGAACTTTATTCACCCTTTCCTTGTCTAATCGCTTAAGTGTAGGCATATATATTTAATTTGGAGGCATGAAATGCGCATAGTTGAAGGAGTAACCGTTGGAATTTCCGCAATTCGTTGCAACAAACTGCGCTCCTTGCTGACGATGCTCGGAATTATCATCGGAGTCGCCTCGGTGTTGGCAATGATAGCTATCGGCGATGGAGCAAAGGTGATTGTCCTGCAAGACGCACAGAAACTCGGCGGCGTGAACCAATTTACGATGTACCGAAGCAGTCATAAACGAGTGGGTAGCCGATGGGTCCCGAATCGCAGCAATGAATACTTTAAGTATGAAGATGTATTGGCAATTGAGGCGGAATGTCCATCTGTGAAGGTAGCAGTGCCGCGAATTCCCGCATGGCGTGGCGTACTTATTCAAGGAGGCGATGGTGCTGAAACCCGAAGCGGTTACAACGGTGTAAATGCCTCGTTTTCAGAAGCAATGGACTGGGACCTTCAGCAGGGGCGCTTCATTTCGGATGAAGATGTTGATAACGAAGCGAAGGTTTGCGTGCTTGGCTCTGAGGTCGCTGCCAACCTGTTCGCGAGTCAATCCCCTGTAGGAAAGAGATTAAAATTGGCAAAGGTCCCGGCGGTCGTTTCGATCGATATGGTAGAAAAGACCGGAAGCGGATAACCGAACGTTTCACCGTTATCGGTACAATGGAGACCCGAGGGCGTAGCCTGCGGTTTGGCTGGAATCTGGACGACATGGTATTCATCCCAATCACTACAACACAGGAACGTTTTACCGGTAACGACAGAATTCTGATGCTCTCAGTTCACGCGAATACTGTTGAAGAGGTCCCGCAAGCGATTGAAGAGGTGAAAGTGGTTCTCCGGAAAATGCATAAAGGTCAAGACGACTTTTTCTCGATCTGGGATATGCGGGAAGGCATGGCACAACTGGATAAAATCAGCAAAGTCATAAAAATCGCATTGGGGAGTATCGCAGGATTTTCGCTACTCGTCGGTGGCATTGGGATTATGAATATGATGCTGGTCTGCTGTCACTGAACGTACCCGTGAGATTGGTTTGAGGAAAGCTTTGGGTGCGAAACGTATGGATATTCTGACGCAGTTTTTAATAGAAGCAGTTGCAATGTGTAGTGTAGGAGGCGCGCTGGGTGTTCTATTGGGATTGTTCGCTGGTGAAGGCATGGCGATGCTTGCTGTTAAAATTGTCAAAATCGTTCCCGAATGGCCCTCGGTTATCTCTACGGAGTGGATATTGATTTCAGTATCATTTTCAGCGGTCATCGGTATATCTTTTGGGCTATACCCAGCAATGAAAGCCTCTGCGCTCTCACCGATTGAGGCACTCAGAACCGATTAGGAGGTAATTCGCATGAATTTAATGGAGTGTATTATTTTAGGCATTTCCAGTCTACGGAGAAATCCGCTTCGCTCTTCCCTAACGATTTTAGGGATTATCGTCGGCGTAGGTTCTGTTGTCAGTATGGTATCCGTCGGCGACGGATCGAGTGCCATGGTCTTGCGAGAGATTGAACGGACTGGCGGCACGAAAATGATCGAAATCTATAAAGACGATTGGGACAAACAGTCAGGCACCTTGAGCCGCGCGGCTGGCTCGGCTGTGCGTGGAAGAAGCCGATGGCAAAGGAACCGTGCCGAAAATTTGGAAACTGAAGATGCATTTGCGATTCTTGAGAGAGCCAGAGGGATTGTCAACGTTGTTGCTGAAGATGACATGTCCGGATGGAATGTAAGTTACGAGGGAAGGACTAAAGAGTCACGTATCGTTGCTTCAAGTGCTGGGTACGATCGGTCGCACAATTGGTATCCATCAAGCGGTAGGTTCTTCTCAGCGGAAGAGGTAGAAGCGGCGAGTAGTGTCGCTGTTATCGGTGCCAAGGTCGCCGAAGAGGTATTTCTCGACGAAGATCCTGTTGGAAAAGAGATTAAAGCATCGCGTCGGTCTTACTGGCGAGGCAGAAGGGGGTCTTTATGAAGTCCGTCTAAAGGTTATTGGCGTTATGGAAGCAAAAGGTGATGCGATGGACACCTCTGGTTGGGATGACCGGTTCATTATCCCGATAACAACGCTACAACAACGTTTTAAAGGACGCGATGATGTTGAGCGCCTTCGCGTAGAAGCAGTGGATGAGGATACGATTCCGCTCGCTATCGCTGATGCCAAACGAATCTTGGGAAGACAACATAACAACACAGGTGAAGAATATAACTATTGGACAGCTACAGAGGAATTGGCAACTGCAAGAAAAGTAGGTTTAGTCATGAAAGCACTGATGGGCGGCATTGCCAGTATTGCACTTATGGTAGCTGGTATCGGTGTGATGAACATCATGCTTGTCTCTGTAACCGACCGGACAAAGGAAATCGGGCTCCGTAAAGCCCTCGGCGCAACCCGCAACGATATTCTGGCACAGTTTCTGGTTGAAGCAGCCGTGCTTACGCTCTTCGGCGGCATTGTCGGCGCAATTGCAGGTGTGTTCATGGGGCAAGGAACAGCCGCTCTCATTTCCAAGTTCGTCTGGGAGGGAAGTGACTGGCCCTCAGTGATTTCATTCGGAACAATGGTTATCGCATTATTCGTTTCTGTAGCTATCGGTATTTTCTTCGGGCTATATCCCGCCAACAAGGCAGCCAAACTCACACCCGTTGATGCACTCCGGTCCGATTAGTCTATTGGCAAATATCATCGAACACGTGGCGGGTATGCCCGCCTCAATGAAGGTGCCTGTTTTTGTCAGTGTAGAGATTTCAGCAGGCACCACTGCACACTTTACAGGAGGGATTACCCTTGAAGAAAGTAATTATTGCTGCCGCCGTTGTTTTGGTTCTCGTCGTTGCCATCGGTTGGGTCGTACTGGGCCGCGGGAAAAACGGGGTAGATCCAACGCAAAACCAGAAAATTGAGGTCGTTGAACGTGGTGATTTCCAAATGCGCATCAGTGCAACCGGCAACCTGGAACCGCTCATTGACGTAGAGATAAAATCTAATGTTGAAGGCGAAATCGTTAGACTCCACGTTAAAAACGGCGACAAGGTTGAAAAAGACCAAGTATTGCTGGAACTCGATCCGGAACTCTATCAAGAGGGGAAAAAACAGGCGGAAGCGGATGTCGCGACTGCCAAAGCGCAAGTCAGGCAAGCAGAACTCAACATTGAACTCAAAAATGAACGGCTTGACAGTGGACTCACGCAGTCTGACGCAGATTTGAAAATCTCTCAAGCGAACGTTGAGACCATCCAGGCCACAACTATCACACAAGTCAGCCAAGCAGAAACAAATATCCAAACAACCAAGAACTCGCTTCAACAGGATAACATTGCCCTTGAACAAGCCAAGATTACGCTCGAACAGGGAAAAATTACCTTATCTGAACATGAGGCATCGCTCACATCAGCGAAGGTCTCCTTGGATAACGCGAAATCAGAACTTGAGCGGAATAAGGAACTCTTTGATAAGGGATTAGTTTCCAAAAAGGCATTGGAAGACGCGCAAGCGCAGCACTCCAACGCAGAAGTACAATATGGAAATGCCCAGAAACGGGTGGACTCACAAAAACAGACGATCGATTCGCAAAGACGAACGATAAGTGCGCGCGAAACCTCCATTGTAACACGTGAGGGAATATTGGCAAACGAGGAACTGAACCTTGAAAACCTGAAAAGACAGCGGCAGATAGCAGAGGAAGAGGCACAACTTCGTGTCGACAATTCCAAAACTCGGTTACAGGAACTGATATCGACTTTCGACAATGAGAAATTGTTGACCCAACAATCCAGAGTGAGTGCTGAAGCAAACAAACTTCGGAGGGAAAGTAGTCTGAAAAATGAAGCAGAACGGCTTGATTGGACCACAATCAGGGCACCGATGGCTGGACTCGTCACACTCCTTGAATTAGAAGAGGGGGAAATTGTGACTTCTGGACGTTCTGCATTCTCGCAAAGCCCACCCATTATGACTATTGTTGATCCTTCCAAAATGGTCGTCAAAACCTTCATCAACGAAGTCGATATGGAACGCCTCCGTCTCAACCAGGGCGCAAAAATCAAGGTGGATGCCTACCAAGCAAAAATATACGACGGAACAGTCTATGAAATTTCACCCAGCGGGCAGGAACAGGATAATATCATCTCATTTGAGGTGATGATAGAAGTCAGTGGCTCCCCGGAGGAACTCCGTCCCGGCATGAGCGCAGATGTCGACATCATTACCCATGAAGAAAAGGATGTCCTGCTGCTACCGATTGACGCGCTTATAAACGTACCTTCGGCGATTGTCACCGCGCAAGTTGATGATACTGGACCCTACAAGGCGAATCAACCGATTGAAGTCCAGACTATCAGTGGGAAAATTTTCAGGGGGGCTGTGACAAACGTTGGTTCCAACGATGTCACTATTAGCCTCGATGGTTCACAACGCGGTATTCTCCCTGGTCCAACAACGCTGTCTCTTTTGGTAAAAGGGAAAAAGAAAGCAGACGGTGTGCGTGCCACAATTAATGTGTCGAAGGGAAAATTCGTTATGCTTAATGACGGTGGTGGCGGCAAAGGAAAACGCACAGAGGTCGAAACCGGCATGCAGAACGAAACACACGCGATTATCAAAAGCGGACTCAAGGCAAGTGACCGCGTTGTTCTACAACAACGAAAACCGCCACCAGGTGGATTCGGACAATAAAGCAGTAGGTTTGTTGCCTCGACCTTCCTGTCGAGGCACACTACAACTGAATGACCTGCGTATCGTAAGCAAGGTAGGCGTTGTCCGGAAGTTCAATGTCCATCTCTTCACACTGTTCCGGGAAATGCCGATGATCCAGTCGGTGCATAATATGCGTGAAATAGGTCTCCCTCGGTTTCAGGACAGCACTAATTTCCAACGCCTCGCCAACCGAAAGATGTGTTGGATGTCTCGGATTAAAACTCAACGCATCAATCACCAACACCTCAATCCCGTGCAGTAGATCTTGGGACTCTTTCGGTAATCGTTTCACATCTGGCAGATACCCGAAGTCGTCGATCCGGTAGCCGTAGGTGTCAACGTTTCCATGTTCAACTGGAATCGGTGTAATATCAAAACCGAACAACTCAAATCTTCTGATCCCGATCAACGACGTTTGGAAGCAGGTGACCGACCCCGCCACCTTGGAACGTCTCCTTTGTAAACATATAGTCGAAGTTGCGTTGTAAGATGCCAATCGTCTGTTCAGGACCATAGATGGGCATATCCATCTGTTGCTTTCGGCACGGCATCACAATGTCGTTCGTTCCACTGACATGGTCGGCATGCGAGTGTGTGAAGATAACGGCATCTATCCTCTCAATCCGATTCCGGACGATCTGATCCATGAAATTAGGTCCGAGGTCGAATTGGAGGTGTTTCCCATCTTTTTCGATATGGGCTGATGAACGAGTCCGGTAGTTTTTCGAGTTAACATCCCGTGCGTCTTCGCAGGTTTCGCAGTCACACTTATACTCAGGAACGCCTGTTGAGGTACCTGAACCTAAAATGGTAATCTTCATTTTTTTAATTATTAAATCTGGTCACCGTTCCAAATGTAAAGCAAAGACAAATTATGCCATTTAAGACATAATTTCGTTTCACGGTGGTTTTCGGTTAAATCCAATTGCCTTTGGATTATAAAAGATTTCTTAATGATTTTCAGCGTCCAGCACTTGGATGGAAGGACGAAGGGAGGGACGGATGGAACAGCCCATTCTTCTATGCTTCCACGCTTCCAATTCCTGCTGACTGCCATTCTTTCTTTGATCATCAACTCGTATTCTACACCTTCTAAGGCACGAGTTGATGGTCAAAACCGATAACTGATAATTGATAACTGACAACTATTATAATGACTAAACTTACGTCCCAAGAATGTCTTGTTCTGGCTGAGGTCATTGGCGACACGCCGATGACGGTTATTTCTGCGTCCCGCTGACAACACGGAACGTGCGATGCCTACATCGCTGGTCACATTACCCGATGTCAACACCGCACTCGTCTTCGATGCATTTTGTCCGGATGAACCGTGCGGTTTTGGTACCGATGCCGATGCCCTGTGGCAACTTTTGAAAGCGACTCGACGGATGGGGTTGTATCAACGTTGACAACTCCTGCGCTGCATCTCTCGGAGCACTTATTGAAGCGGACAGGGGCACATCTATCCGTTATTACGGCGATGTCTGTCACGCCCTCTTAGAGCCCTGTCTACTGCTATCCGAACGAGACAGTTCGTCTTCTGACATTAGCGGATGTCGAGCGTCTGGCGAAAGCCCCCTGCAGAAATCCAAGGCAACGGTTACAAAACACACGCAGCAATGGTAACAGACGGTATCGCCGCGGGTGCCGTTGTGGACGGCGACATCGTTGCTATCGCGCATACTTATGCAGAGACCGACCTGCACGCTGACATCGGGGTCTCCACACTGGAGGCGTGGCGCGAAAAAGGTTTTTCCACCGCTGCGGCATCCCTTGTTGCCCAAGAGATTCAGGCAAGAGGTAAAGTGCCTGCCTGGAGTTGTGGTGAAGACAACTTCGCTTCGCTTCGGGTGGCAGCAAAAATTGGGTTTCACCGAAGTGGGTCGGCGTACCTATGTCATCCCCATTTCACCAGAATAGAGAGGTCATTATCCGAGGGCATCGTCCACTTGATTGATAGCGGCTGCCATCAATCGCGCGTGCTCCTCTTGCATATTCACGTTGAACCCGAACCGTAGCGCACGACCGAGAATAGATAGTGTCTGCGGACACATATCTCGCGAATATTCAACGTTTCCCTTGTAACTCGGATCCTTCCACGGATACCCTGACGCGTCCGGTGAATGCTTGAACAAGATAGAATCCCAATAGGTATAGATATGCCTGTCGGGGAACCCTTGGTTGTAAGCGGTGCCTGCGTTCAATCCCTCTGCTCTGAGGGCATCAGCGTATTTCTTGGCGAGTTCCACATCATGCACGATAATAGCGGCACTGATCCCGCATTCTCCGGTCGGGTCATCTACGTGTTGACGGATATAGCCTTTCGGTTCCTCAGCGAGCTCAGCGGTGAATGCCTTTTTGAGTCGGCGTGTATGTCCCAAGATGTCCTCTAACTTTGAGAGTTGCACGCGTGCGATCGCGCCCAAAATTTCACTCGTTCGGTAGCACTGCCGAGAAAAAGGTTTGTTCTGCCACTCAGAATCACTCATCCACATCGGTAAGCCGGGTTCCGCTGCGAATGCTGCGCGTTCATAGACATCGTAGTCATCGCTAAAGATAAGTCCACCTTCACCACAGGAGATCACCTTGTAGTAGTTGAGGCTCCACGCGCCTGCATCTCCCCACGTTCCAGCATATTTCCCCTTATACTGTCCTCCGATGCACTGACAGCAATCCTCAACAACCAGGAGATTGCGCTTCTGCGCGAGTTCGACAATCGCCTCAAGCCGACACGGTACGCCTTGCATGTGTACCGGTAAGATCGCTTTCGTATGTGGTGTAATTTTCCGTTCCACATCGGCGATATCTAAGCCGAGCGAATCGTCGATTTCCGCTATGACTGGAATCGCGCCTACACCGACAATAGCAGCGGCAGTTGCGATAAAGGTGTAGCCCGGAACTATCACCTCATCTCCCGGTCCGATGCCGACCCCAGTCAGGGCGCAGATGATTGCGGAGGTACCTGAGTTCACCATCAAGGCGTGTTTTGCACCGAGGTACGCCGCTGCCTCCTTCTCAAAATTGGCTACATTTGAATCCTCAATGAATCGAAAAAGTTTCCCACTGCGCAAGACTTCAGTCACAGCATTGATCTCGCGTTCATCTATCAAACTGGGCCCGTGCATTCCGCCGGGTATAGCGTCTGCGATAACGGGTGCTCCGCCATCTATTGCTAAACGTGCTGGCATCTTTTCTCCTCCACAAATCTTAGAGCGTAGTTTGCAACTTCACCAAGAAAAATACGAAATATGGTGATACTTTACCAGATGCATCCCTTTTTGTCAATCACGTTTCTCTTACAATCTATTCTACCTACGCCACCAACTCCTTTTGCCCTGATACGACGCAAGGAGTTTTGAAATCTCTTTCGCCTTCTTGTCCAGACGCAATACCGTCTCACACGCTTCGATCACTTTCTGCTTAGCATTCTCGTCTTGGGTAGTCTGGTAGGCATGGTGATAACTCTGTGCAACAGCGGTATGATACACCACGAGGTCTACGTCTTCTGGGACTTCGGTCGGAAGTTGCTCAAGCATCCCGACTGCCGCGTCCCACGCCTCTGCTTCGGTGTGACAGATAAGTTGTTGGTAGCGCAGATGGTGTTGCGACGGGTCCAGCCAATACGCCTGCTCATAACACGCCACCGCCTCCGAGTAAGCCGCATTGGCGACATGTAACTGCGCAAGCTCCGTATAAAAAGCGGACAGTCCGCTCTTTCCTATCGTGTAAAGCGACACATCAGTCTTGACAAGCCAGTCTCTCTCCAACAGGAAATCGATTGCTGAGTTTCGTTCCTCTTCCGTGATCTGGATATTGGTGAGGAGGTGCTTCGCGACAGCAGCGTTCGGAAAAATCTTGGTGCGACTCTTCAGCAACGGATACGCCTGAACCGCCTTATCCATCGTGATAAGCTTAATCCCTGTAGCGATACGGAAGAGGGACACAATTTGGTCGCTGTTTTTGCGGGACATCTCCTCAGCGATCGCGTCCCGATTTTCTGAAAAATGCAGATTGAGTTCAGCAATAGCGTCTCGGATGCCCGTATCACTTGGGGACAGTTGATGCGCTTTCGTTAAAAACCGTTGTGCCGTGAAAAGTTCTCTCCAGGTCCGATAGATTGTCCCCAACCGAAAATTAGCGAGTGCCAGGGTTGACGTTTCGTCAGTCGTGCTGAGGATACTATCGTAGGCTTGGATGGCTTCGGCGAGCTTGCCTTCGGTTTCCAACGCTTGTGCATCGGTGATTGGATCTGACATAAGGGGTGCCGTTTCCTTAATGGAGTTTCGGATGGGTTTATTACATCTAATTTAGTTCACTCATAAATTATGACTGCTATTTTAGCCCAACAGAATTTGTTTGTCAAGCGATTTACTTGCGCACACCAGAGCCATTTAGTTTTCGATTTTTTGCCGATTTTAGGGAAAGCACACAACCCGGATGGCACTTCTATAACCCAAGTTGGTACTAACAAGTTTTGAAGATTCAAGGAGATTTTTCAGCCTTCGCACCCCAGAGGGGTTGTAGTGTTCGATGAGATAGAAAACGTTGTGTTGTAGAGCGACTGCACTGCCAGCGAAGTGCCTATGCTCGCAAAGAAAATAGGTGGCAACTTGGGTTCCTATAGCGAAGACACTACCAGACGGAACATCGAAATTGTCGAGAACGCAATGCCTCTCGATGTCAAGCGATTCCGATGGCGTTCGATCTACTTTAGCCCCGGCGAGGTTTCCAAACCTCCCACACATATCTCCAGAATCCATCGCGTATTTCAACGATGCCTGATCACCCTTGATTCACGAAGCTTTCATAGCAACTTTCATAGCAACCTTTGATGAAAACCGTCTAAAACCCAATACGGGTCTGGGTTTATCGCTTTTCACGACACCTATTGATTTATCGGCTTTGCTATGAAAACTGTGAAAGTATCGTCAGATTTGCGAATCTGTAGACTTTTCAGGAAACACTGGATTCCTCCGAACTCCACTCCTCTGTCGCTTCCGCGAACTCTTTGGATAATTCATCAGAAATCGTCTGCTCCAGTAGTTCAATCAGATCGGCACGGAATTTAACCCAATCGGCACCACGGCGGGTAAACCGGTGCTGATCCCCAATTTCAACAAACATGGTATCATTTGGCTCGGACAGAGACTCAAAATAACGCCTAACGTTCATGGTTATTCTCCTTCTATTTTTATGATCTCATATTAAAGCCAAAAATTGTCACTCACACATTTTGGACGTTTCAACAAGGATTTCAGGCATTTTCCTCACCCCGTAGGGGTGCTATGTCTATAGAAACCGGTGTATTCAAGCAACCGCACCCCGTAGGGGTGCTATGTCTATAAATAGGGGCAACTTGCGTTAAAAATATATAAACTTCATCAAACCGGCAAAGCTTAGGAAATACTTACAGCCATTCGTGCATTTCCCAACCAGAAGCGAGTGCTTTCTCACGGAGCGTTTTCCCTGGGTTCACAACGACTGGATTCCCAACACATTCCAACATAGGTAGATCGGATTGACTGTCGCCGTAAGCATAACTCTCTTCGAGTGAAATTCCGTGTTGTTCAGCATACGCTTGCACTGCCTTTGCCTTCTCCTCTGCGATGAGTGGTACAGTTGTCAGTTCACCCGTGAATTGTCCGTTTTGTTCATGAAGTTGCGGTGCCAATACAGAATCAATAGCGAGGTAGTCTGCTATCGGCTGGACAATAAAATCAAGCGAACCGGTTACGAAAACTACGGGGGTACCTTGCTCCTTGTGTTCCTGAATTTGCGATATCGCGGCAGGGAAGATCTTCGGACGCAAGTAAGTCTCGAACATGTCGGTAGACAGCTCCTTAATCTCGGTAACACGCATCCCACGATAGTTACGATAAAACACCTGATTGAAACGGGGACGACTGACTCTGTCCAAAACCAAATAGTACACAATCTTGGGGAGGAACCCAATGAGCCATAAGTGCTTTAGAAGGAATGGAGTTTCTTTGAACCGCATCCAGATATAGTAATGGACAATCGTGGACTTCAATAAGGTGCCATCCACATCAAAAAATGCGACTGTTTTTGGCGTAGCTTGCAAGCCAAAACTTGTTTTTGAAAGTTTCGGGTTCGGATCCGACATGATTTTTTAATTATACCTTGCGGTTTGATGAACGGTTTTAGGAACTTTCACGATCTTTTTGATGAGCCGTCTTCCACTACGTTTCAGACTCGGGACTTTTTAATTCCTCCTGTTGTCTCAGCATTGCGCCAAGTTCTGCCACTCGATTCTGTGCCAATTCCAAGAATTCTTGGTATCTGTCAGGATCAATCGGTGTTTCGTCTTGCTCTCCCCACTCCTCCGGTGGAAAGGTAAACGGTTCACCAAAAACGATGCGAACAGGATGTTTCTTGGGTAAGTTCTGTCCCTTCGGCAAGGCGTGGTAGGTCCCCTCAATATAAGCCGGTATAACCGGGACGTTAGGACTGTAGATGAGCAAACTGAGTACGCCCGGTTTGAAAGGTTGAAGTTTACCATCAAGCGAGCGTGTGCCTTCGGGAAAGATTAGCAAACCGTTATTTTGCGCCATCACCTCGTTTGCTACCCTGAGATCTTGTAGGAACTCAGTAAAATTGCCTTCTCGTTCTATCGGCAGCGCGTTAAGACACGTCCGAGCAAACCAGCCTTGAAAAGCGCGTCGCAAACCAATAATCGCGGGCGGCGAGCACCCAGAGTTGGTATGCCTTCGTTCCGAGAGCAGTAATCACCGTCAATGTATCCAGATGACTTGTGTGATTCGGCATAATAATATAGGGTTTGCCCTTTGGGATATGCTCAAGCCCATAACATTTCAATGAAAAATAGTTCCGATAGATACCGGTAATCACGGTGCGGAAGGCACGCGCATACCACCGCGGCACTTGCCTGATCTCAGGCTTTCCGTCCTCGCGGAGTTCATCTTCTGTTCTTGCAATGTCTGTGGGGAACGTCTCGATTAACCTGACGACATCACCGACTGTCTCCAAATTGGCGAGTAGTGCATCGGGAATTGTTTCACCGAGTCTGGATTCAAGAACCAACAGGAGATCAAGTCGCGTGAGCGAATCAAGCCCTAAATCGGTATCCAAACGACTCTCCGGTTGAATTTGGTGTGCCGGCATACGTGCCAATCGTGCGAGAGTGGTGAGGATTTCTTCTGGTATGTCCGATCTCGGTTCAGCACTATCTACATCCGCAGTGGAATCCCCCTGAAGGTCTGCCATATTTTTAATATGCGCCTCCAAACTGCGCCTTAGACTTTGCCGATCTACACTCCATCCGCAGTCTTTGGTAGCGGATCATCCCAGAAATGGGATTTGTGGAATTGTTGGTAGCTCGGCAACTGCTTTGCTCGCGCTTGAAGATGGTGTTGGATCTCCGTTTTCGTTGCCTCGTCGGAGGCTGTCGGCACAATCACGGCATGTATAGCCGTATCCGACCCGTCTTCATAGGGAATGCCGAGGACACATATTTCAGAGATAGCCGGACTATCCCGATAGAGAGTTTCTAACTCGACGGGATAAACGTTCTTTCCAGAAGCGGGAACGATAATATCTTTGCAATGCCCGGTGAGATAGAGGTAGCCGTCCGCCTCCATGTAGCCTAAGTCGCCCGTGTAGAGCCATCCATCGCGAATAGCTTTTTCTGTAGCATCAGCGTTCTGATAATAACCCTTCATCGTACTCGGTCCCTTAGCGATAATCTCCCCGATACCATCGCTATCCGGATTCTCAATCTGAAGTTCCACACCTTCTACCGCTGGTCCCACCGATCCCCGTTTACTTTTTAGATACGGATTGACACTGAGAACGGGTGCTGTTTCGGTCATTCCGTAGCCTTGGTAAAGCGTCATCCCAAACTTCTGAAATCCGTCGTAAATCGCATCGGAAAGTGCGGCACCTCCACTAACGAGAATGCGAATTTCCCCACCCATGACAGCGCGTGCTTTTTCTGCCAATGTTTCACCCGGTGTGTCTGCTCGCGATGCTTGTCGTTCGATTGTGCCTTGGAGCATCTGAAAAAGGCGCGGAACACCGATGAAAGCCGTGGTCTTTGCCTTACGCATTGTCTTCAGGAGCGTTGTGGGACGGAGCGCATTGACGTAAGTCGCTGTCGTGCCGCTGTAAAGTGCCATCAATAAACTACACGAGAAACTCAATGCATGATACAACGGGAGTGCTGACAGGATCCGCTCGGTGTCTGTCGGGGGAAGTGCTTTAGCCACTACTTGGACATTAGAAATAAAGCCGCCGTGCGTGAGCATTGCGCCTTTCGCTTCAACAGTGGTACCCATTGTAAAGATAATCGAGGCAACGGTGTCTGGAGAGACTTCCACATTCGGAAAATCGGCAGGAATCTCGGCAGTTGAGGCTTTGCTCTCCGTACCATCGGAAACCCCCACAATTTCACAATTCCTGTTGATGTTTTGTAACATCATCTCTGTTGTTGATAGTGTTTCCGCATCGGATTTTTCTAATACACTCTCAGAAGCTAAAATCGATTTCGCAGCGGTGAACTCGGCAATTGCCAAAATTTCATGAGCAGGCGTTTGCGCGTCAAGAGGAACGACAGCGATGCCTATCTGAACAGCCGCAAGGTAAGCGATACACCATTCGGGCTGATTTTCAGAAACCAATACCACACGGTCGTCTTTTCGCAAACCGCTTTCCCATAGCTGCCACGCGGCTTGGCGCGACAGGGTATACGTCTCCGCATAGGTATACTCTTCCCACCCGCTTTCGTTTGCCATCTGCAGCGCGATTCTATCCGGGATTCGCGCTGCTTGTATCTTAATCAGGTCTACGATCGTTTTTGGGGGGATTTGGTCTGGGAATAGATCAAATCCATTCCTTGTATTACATTTCCATTCAGGTGCCGCAGCGGACTCCTCGGATTCATCTTGCGAACTCGCCTTCTCCTGTTTTGTAGAGGAAGATGCTTCTGTATCATCTTCAATCTTCAACACATGTCTCTTTATGCCGGGAATATGAATCTCTTGGAAATACCGCTTCCAGTGGATCCGTGAAACATCGAAGTTAAAACGCTGCTGTTCTATAGGTGAAAGCGCGTTGTAAAGCCCTTGCGTCTTCTCTGTTTCAAATTCAAAGTTAGTTCGCGTATAAGGTGCATAGATTCTGATGTAATGCAGGAGTGCTTTGATACCACTCTGTTGCAGGACAAGCTGGCGGCGTTTCCGCTTGGCAGCACGTATCGGAAGCTTGCCGAGTGTCTGAACGGCAAGGTCAACCAGACGCATACGACTATCCAATTTTCGCTGAAATTCTTCTAAACTCGGATATTTCCAAATTGGCACTGCAATCGGTTTTCCATCTTCTAACATTGGATGTTTCACAAAATATTCATAAGTTGCCTCAAAGATACCTCGAAAGTAGAGCGGGTTCTGCGTCCCTGTCGCGACATGATACACTTCAATACCGCCGCGTCTCGCTGTCGCCTCCGCGGCTGCCAACATAGCGTTCACTACAAAATCAACAGGGATAATATCAAGAATTATATCCGGATCTGCCGGAAAATCCGGGAGTCGCCCTTTCCCAAAACCGACGATCAAAGGTTCGGACATCCGAAACTTACCAAGCCATCCGGGTTCAGGTTCATCAAAGCTACTCTCAATAATTGAGGGGCGCACGATAGCAGTAGGCAGTTCACCGCGCAATTCCATAATCATCTGCTCAGCGAGGAATTTCATATAGGTGTAAGTATCGTTCCACCCGCGCGAGCGTGCGTGCTTCAATCCTTCCTCAACCAAGCGTTCCTCAAGCCATTCTGCCTTCAGTTCTTCGACCAGTGCCTCAAATCCTTTACGTGTCCCTTTTCTCTGCGCCTCCGCTTCCCGCTGAAAGTGTGCGAGGGTTTTCAGGTGATTCGGCTTCAGCATGAATAGCCGCACTCAGAGAAAGCAGTCCTTCGATTTCCTCAGAGAGCGTTTCCGGGATAGCAATTCCTGTCTTTTCGCGATGCTGTGCCGCGTAGTGCTCATAGAAGAGTGGAAGTTCTTCAGGCACTCGTCCAGGCTTGTCGCCGCAAACATACGCCGTTGAGACATGGAGAAACACGGCATCTTGACAACCCCTTGCAAAGCTGACAACATGTTTAGCAGCAAAGGTATTTCCCCACAAAGAATCATCGAAAGGTGGATCAAAATCCACAAGGCCCGCGATATTAATAAAAACCTGGACTTCGTCCTGGAGTCTTTGGTATTCCGCATCGCTGAATCCAAGATGCTCGTGAGTGAGATCCCCTTCAACAGCCACCAGTTTCTGCTGCGCCCATGCGTCAAAATTTTCGCCGTGTATCCGACGAAGAGATGCAAAAACGCCCGAGGTGAGAAGTTCATTTTCTAAACGTTCTTGAGCGGAAGTGTGCTTCCCAGTGGTATCGGTGCGACTTCGAATGAGGAGATAAATCTTTTGTATATCGGGAAGTGCAGTTAAAATTTTTGCAACCATCGGTTGTCCTAAAAATGCAGTGCCTCCGCTAATGAGCAGAACTTTTCCCCGAAAAAAATCAGTTATTGACATAATTCTCTTTTCTGTGTCATGATAGATATTTGAACATATTGCACGAGGTCCCCACGCCTTGCATTGTTCTCAACTTATATTTGTGAATTTCGTCTAATTTCCAATAAATCATTTAGGACGCAGTTTACAAATCTGTCATATTGCAACGCAAACTAAACGTTCGCGCATGGGATTCCGGCTTATTGTGATTGGAGGCAATTGCTGGGCATATTTTGGCGTAGCCTTCAAGCCAAAACATCCCATTAAAAATAACACATTTTCCATAAAAAGTCAAAGGCTGAATAGATAATGCTACCTGAAGAAGAAAAGTTACAATTTTTGCAAAAGACGGAACTTTTTGCAGAACTCCCCGAAACCGAATTAAAAGCGATCTGCCATATTGCCAATGAAGTCGCTTATCCAGCCTATTCGACGCTATTTGAGGAGGGGGATGAAGGCGATTCGCTTTACCTGTTGGTCGATGGTGAAGTCAGCATCATCAAGGCAGGTACAGAAGTATTGTTCTTCAATGAGAAAGGTTACTGCCTCGGCGAAATCGCCCTGATTGACAATAAACCGCGGAGTGCCACTGTTAAAACAGTGAAACCCACACAATTTCTGAGGATCACGAGAAGCGACTTTTACAACGCTATGGCACGAGAACCGAGAATTGGTAGTGGGATGTTCCGAGTTTTGAACGACAAAATCCGACGCGACCTTGAGATTCAGATGAGTGCTATCCGTAAGGAAATTGCCCAAGAAGAATCAATGCGCCTTGCCGCTGAAGTCCAAAAATCTCTCCTCCCGAATAAAGAAATCTCGCATCCATGTGTCAGTTCCGCCGGATATTGCAGACCTGCAAATAGCGTCGGCGGCGACTATTACGACTATATGGAGCTCTCTGATAACAGCGTTGCCATTTTCCTCGGCGATGTTATGGGGCACGGCTATCATTCGGCAATGGTAGCAGCGATGACGAAAAGTTGCTTGCAAACGCAGATCCGTTTTGACGCTTCTGTACCGGAAGTCATGAAAGCCATTACCCGTGTCACAGAAGAGGATGCCGAAGCTTTTATCTACATGACCTGCTGTTATCTTATCATTCACCCTGACAATCGGTTGGAGTTCGCGAATGCCGGTCATCCGCAGATGCTTCTCTATCGTGCCGAACAGAACGGTGCCAACAGTGAGAATGGTGACATCCTTGAGTTACAATCCTCGTTTCTGCCGGTCGGTATCTCAATGTCCGACACACCGACGCAATATTACAGCACTGAAGTCAAGTGGTATCCCGGCGACCTACTGGTCCTTTATTCAGATGGGATCACAGAAGCATTCAATCCTAACGCGGAAATGTATGGATTCGACCGTTTCAAAGCACTCATTTCACAAAAACGTCATCTGTCCCCCGAAGAGATAAAGGAAGAGATTCTGTCTGACCTTCAAGCACATCAACAGGACGAAAGCACCACTGATGACATTACACTGGTTGTGGCGAAGTTTTTATAGATGGTAAAGGACCCGGCTACAAATTGCGCCATGATAATTTTCTACTTGAGCTGGCTGACGGCATAATGCATGATATTTTCCATGAGTGCTCTGTTCATGGAAGTGGTATATTGGCTATCGTTACGAAGGCTGGTAATAATGTATAAGCCGTTGCCGTACCGTCTCACCCCAACAACGAGTTCCTTATTGTCCTCGGTAGTAGCAAAAATTTCGTCGCGTCGGTTCCAATCTACCCATGCGTCATCAACAAAGATTTTGCCGGACTCAATTTTGTTGGGAGTGGAGAAAAGGGAATTGCCTTTTTCAGTAACAGTGAAGTGTTGGGTTGGTGGGCTTTCAACGCCTTTCAACTGGCTTCCCTGTAGCCACCCGACACCGCACGGTTTCTCAACACTACTGTCCTGTCCCGTAACGACGACAATGCCACCGTTTTTCACAAAGGCTTTAATCTTCTTCTCTACTTCACTGGAAAGGAGGTAGTGTCCATAACTGGAAATCTCTTCGTATCCGATCCACAAAATATCGGCTTTTTCCAGTTGGGGCAACTTATGTTCTTTGGTTGACTCATGTGCGATGACACGTTTGCTAACCTTTTTAATGGCGCGCAGTGCCATATATTCATACGTTGCTGTGTTCGTATAGACGGGGGTTTGGCTCCATGTTGGATGTGTGCTATTTCCCTGTTAGGACCAGAACTTTCACGGCATCTTTCGGCGCCGCAACCCACATTTTACCAGCTAACATGTCGCGAACAATCGTTTGGAATGCCTTTGCCTTGCCATCGTATGTCCGTGACATCATCGGGTCAATGTGCGTAAATGTCCACCAAGAGCCACTGTATCCACCGCGATAGGCACGCATCTGAAACCACGTATTGTCAATGAAGCACATACTATCTATGCCGTAATGTTCGCGATAGAAAATGATGATGGGCATGCCCTGTTTGAGCAGTTTTACCATCTTCTCCGGTGAAGTGCCTCGCTTGTAATGTCCAGTGGCAAAGTTCATCTTAATTTCCTTGAGTTCGCTTTTCCCTTTGACATCTTTTTTGACAGTAACAACGCCTCGCAAACGTTTCTGGTCAACACTTTTTACTTCGCCAAAAACGATGTTCGTACAAGCATCAAGGATTTCACGAGTCGTATACTCGCGCTCAATAAACGCCGGTGCAGCCGGCACGAAAAGCAACCCGATAAAACAAAACCCTAACAATAAAGCAATGAGGTTATATGTAAAGCGCATGGTGGAATCCCCTTCTAAACATATTAAATTTTTCTAATTAACAGATATTGTATTATATCTCTATTGAATTTTCAACTATTTTCCGTTTCGTGCATACGTTATGTTAGGATTGAAACTTCCTTCTTTGCTGCAGCTTGCCCGCCAAAACATGCAGTTAAAGGTTTTACGATTTACATCACCAGAAATCTTTGGTGCTGCCACTTACATCGGACTTCTGATTTTCGTCCTTGCTCTACCGTTCGGGTATTCGACAGCATTCCTCAACATCGGGCTTTCGTTTGTGCTATTGGGATGGGTCGGACGACTCGTTTCAGAGCGGAAACTCGGCTGGCAACGCACATCGCTTGACCTTCCCATTTTGCTGTTTTTGGGATTGGGATTGATAGCCTCACTTCTTGCGCCGAATCCTGACACCAGTAGCCTCGGCTATTTTTGGAAACACCTCCGTGCGATCCTGCTCTTTTATGCGGTTATTCACAGTCGATTGGGCACTCGATGGCGACAGGTTGTCATTGCTTTCATTGTCGCGGCAGGGATCTCTTCTGCACTCGGGCTCTGGTATTACGCAAATGACACCCGCTTAGCGATTGATTTTATGGGGAGGATTGGGTTACAATTTCAGGAGGAACTCGCTGCCGGTGAAGTCCCAGATTTACAAATATCGGATGAATTACGCGCCGAATTGCGAAATTGCAATGTACCGCTCTCTCAAACCGCATCGTTTGTACCTTCAAAGCAACCAGGCGAATGGCGTATCAATGATCTGGTGAGAAACAGACGCTACACAGTCCGCAAGAGTGAGACGCATCTTATGGTGTACATGATCGAGCAACGGCTCACCGGAACCTTTAAGATGCCGAATGATTTAGGGGCATACCTTGCTCTCATGCTCCCATTTGTTATGGGCTACTTTGTAGTCGGCTGCAGCGGCATAACTTCTCAATTGGAACGGGCGGAAGCACGTCGAAAATCGCGACGCCCCTTGATTTGGGCGACCGTGGGACTCGGTGTGATTTTGGCACTGATGAGTGCAAATCTGGCATTGACGTTGACGCGCGCAGCGTGGATAAGTGTTGTTCTTGCAGTTGTTTTCATTGGGTGCTATTTTGCTATAAGCATCTTACGCAGACGTATTCCATGGAAACGAAGCCTCTTGGGACTGGCGTTAATAAGTGTTGTGTTTTGTGTGTTGATCGTGAATACGAGTTCCCGTCAGGCGATGATTGGCATTGTCCCTCAACATATCAAGGAGCGCATCCAAACGCTGATTGCCCACCCCGCGGGGTTTATGAGTGAACGTCCACAATGGTGGCGTACCTCGCTTCAAATGATTTGGAAATACCCGCTTACTGGCATCGGGCTGGGTAGGTTTCGCTATGAGTATCAACACAACGGACCGGATGAGCAATACGATACACCCTATCACGCTCACAACATCTATCTACACATCGCCACTGAGCAAGGTATTCCTTCGCTCTTTGTGTTTTTGTGGATAGTGGCAATTATCTGTCGGCAAGTGTTCGTTATGCGGACGACGAATGATCTCTGGGAATTGGGAACCTTCATCGGGGCAAGCGGATTTCTAATCTCAGCACTTGTTTATGGACTCGCAGATAACATTTTACACCAGCGTACAGTCTTGCTTTTCTGGTTTATTATCGGCATAATTTTTTTTACACAACAGGAGAGGCACAGCAACAACCGCTATCTGTAGGAGCGAGTTTCCCCCGTTATTTCTATTCATCATTTGAAATTTGACACAGCATGAGGAATGAAAACACAAGCCTGCAACAACGGCGCAGGCGACCCTATAGAAAAGCATGTCAAAGTTCTAACTCACGTTACTTCTCCGCAAGGAAAATTAGAAACATGAAAAAACGCCGGAACCCGATTGACATATCTTCTGTGACAACCTACCCACTCCAGAGCCGTATCAACAAGGTCTCCGTCCGCGATTTTGCGACACTACCAGAATTAGGGATAGACCTGTCTCCATTTTTAGCAAGTCTGCCGAACATCCTCAAAGGACAGGACTTTTTGGCACTCGTCGACGATATCGTTGCCGCTCATCAGAACAAGAAACCGGTCATCGTGATGATGGGAGGACATGTCATCAAATGTGGGTTGAGCCCGCTCTTAATTGACTTGGCGAAGCGTGGCGTGGTTACTGGGTTTGCCTTTAACGGCGCAAGTAGCAT